CGTTGTGGTGGTTGACTTCCTTCGATTCCAACTCGGTCTTCTAACCGTCGTGGTCGTCTTGCCCGGCTTCTTTCCTGATTCAAATTCTTCCAAAATTTCATCGACATAATCGTCAGGGTCAAACTAAAGAAGAATGTATAAACATTCCTTCATGCAAGTTTCCAACCGAATAATAATACCAAAAAAAACGAGAATCTTTTCTAATATGGATCATCATGTTTCTTTTTCTAGGCGGTAATTCAAAATTTGAAAATTCGGGTATCATACTACTGAATCAAACTGACCGTAAATCTCCACGGATTGCTAGTTTTTTTTCTATTTTACTATTTTCAAATGAAAATTGAATTATTACATTTGGATGCGCGATTTGCGAGATTAGTACGGTATTCGAATTCCCACTGCTTAAATTCAAATTTGAATTACCGCCGCGAAAAGGTGCGATGGTCCATATTTCTGCAATGTGCTCGTTTTTTGGGGAAGGAAATATAACTCAATATTAGCACAAAAAAAGAGAATTTTGAGTGTTTACAAACAATTGAATGTTTTTGGCGCGGTAAGTCAAATTTCAATTTGAACACTGGAAATAAACGTACCGTACTGTGGAATCAAGCGAACGAAAATTATTAAATGGCATTAATTAGGGCTCTCGTTTTTTTTGTGTGATTGCAACAATTAATTTGAAAAATTTAAATCAACGAACCTCTCGTTTTAAATGTAAACTAATCGCAGTTGATTGCAAAAACCTAAAACTAGATAAATACTTTTTGAAAAATCATTGAAGCACTCACAAAACTCCTAAGATGATGTAGAAGTTCCATTGCATTTGGTTCTTTTGCCTGTAACAAATAAAATGAATTGGCAAGAAAAAGTTAGGAGCAAGAAATAACACTTGAAAAGAATAAACAATCACTAAAATATGTATATTTGTCTTGCAAAAAAAAACGCGAGAAGGATCATTTCGAAGAGTCTCATCAGACAGATGTGCTCAATGTATTTAGCCGACTCAAAAAGAAACATTAATGTGTCACCCTTATCAGCATGATGTTAGCAAATTTCGCCAACAAACCGTTAATAATACTAATGCACTTTTTATTCAGCAGGTCCATCTCCAAATAGGGATATCCATTTCACGAAACGAAACATTTCGTAACATAATTGACTTGTAATTAATAATTAATTGCAAAACTAGCAATTTCGACAAAAACCAAACTCGGACAGAGTGGCGTCGGATGGCGTGGAATTTGTTCAAATTTCGAGCCGCTCGCTTTCATTTCGTTTTCGTCTAATACATACAATTCACGCGAGAAATTTATGAGAGGTGCTTCGAATGAAATAATGAATGGTTGAAATTATTATTGTTTAAAACACAACAAAACGAGTGTTTTGTGAAACGCGCCAACTTTGTAATTAGTTGGTTTGAGACGCGCGTAACTCATTCTAGAATCGATGGAATTTTTCTCAAAAAAAAAAATGAGCATTAAAGGAACAAAACGAAGGCGACTGGAAGAGATGACTAATTATCGTACAATGAACAGGAAATAGGCCATCTGTCTGCTGACACTGACCTTCATAGGGTGTTTGGCGGCTCATTTGCTCAAGCTTCTTCTTATCAAATTTGAAATAATTATAACGTGTATCTAAAAAACAATGAATACTACTCAGCGCTGTTTTCTTTTTTTTCATGAACAACACATTTTTTCTTTATTTTATTTTGGTCTGAAATGAACAACATCTTCTTCTTCTTCTTCTTCTTCGACTGATTTATTCAGCTTGGTCTACAATATGGAATCCCTTGCTAAATTTTAAGTGGATAAATCAAAATTGGGAAGCTCATTCTCTAAACTGAGATTAAGAATCACACCATAAAGTATTTGAAAATTGAATTTTTAACGTAAATTGATGAGTCTCAACTAAAATAAATTTGCACTTCTTTTTTTCTCTTTCAATATATTCAACATATATTTTAGATTACAGCCGTTTCTTTCCTTTTTCGTTGTCTGGAACTAATTAATTGAATATGAATTGATATTAAACAAATAGATATGCATAATTCGGAATGAAATCGGATATTGAATATACGTATGCCTATTTTTTTTTGGTACAATCATCAAGAAAAAAAATGACGTGTATGAAAATAATGAAGAAAATTGGATCTTTAAGAGGAGGGAAAAACTGAAGGAAAATAAATATTAAAATTAACTGAAGGAAAGTAAATATTAAACTAAAATTTTAAAAAAATCTATTGAAAATAAATCTGCAAACATCCTTAATTTTCTACCGGAGATCTGTTCTCCGATCACGCAGCTGTTTGAGTTCAAAACTAGAATTTAGAAACCAAAAAAAATTAAATTCAAATAGCGGTTCATTAAAATGTACTTCTGATTTTAAAATAGTCTCATAGTTCTGACAATAGTATGAACAACAGAAAATGATGGTAAATGCAATTAAAAGCTTCTAACGTCGTCAGCCTTTTTGAGGTTCGCACTAGGAGATTGCCATAAACATCACATAATTCAGTTCACGAAAATTAATGATGTATGATGAGACAGATTTCAAACGGAAAATCTCTCAAGCCTCCACAAAAATTCGTCGGAAATTCTACGTCGAAAACTGAATTAAAGGCACAATAGAGGAACATATCGGATTTGCGATCTAGGCTAACAACAACAAGAGTTCTTCTAACAATTATTGAGAGATTCATGGGCGTAATGCTTTGAAATAATAAACTAACACAATACACACCGTCTGTTTCTGACACATTTTTCCGGATTTCGACCACAATGAGATATTATATTATATGAGAAGTGGGTTGGCGCAACAAAAGACATTCAGTTAATGTTTTGGGTGGTAAAAAGAAGAGTTGTTACTTTCTTCTTTCTCTCACACATTCTTTGAAACACGTCAAAAAAAAAACAAATTGAAGAAAATCAAATGTTTGATCGTCGATTGTAGAGTGTCGCCAATTGGATTTGTGGCGGCGCAGAATTTGAAACCTCCGCTCAAAAAAAAGGCTTCTTCATCCATCTAGCACAATGCTCATTGTTCGAAAATCGCAACAATCGTCTCGTTCCGATGTCGAAATTATTCAAAAAGTGTAATGTGTTTAAGGCAAACAAAATGAAAACAGAAGTACACAAAATAAATGGTTGAAATTCTTTTTTTATTATTATTAAAGAATGTTGGAATTTCAACTTTCATCGAATTTCCATTTTTTTTTCGATTGTTTGTTGGATAAGCTTAAATGCTCGTCTATAATAATAGTATTGGTAATCGTATTTATTTGAACATCTGAAATTGGCTATAGAAAACTGAAAGAATAGTAGTTTGCAAATTGAATGGACCAACTAATACATTATGCATTTTGCATTCTCCATACAACAGTAGATTGATCGAATTTTCTCGAATCTCAACACTCAATTAAAAGCCGACCTTTGAGTTTAATTAAGAGTCAACATCACGTGTAGGTTTACAATACAAATAAACATGAAAAACTCGAGGGAAATGTATTTCTTATTAATTTATCATTAATTCTTCACACAAAAACAAATTAAAAAAAAACAAAATTGAAGAAATAATTTGGTTTTTTGGTAAGCCGAACGGATCTGCACAATGCCAACTTATTTTTATTGTTAAGCCATTGGTTTTGAAAAGAAATTGAGAAGAACACGCATTTTTATAGCGTTTTGACGTCTTTATGTGCACTTTTTTTTCGGCATTTTCGCGCGAGTTTTCAGTTCACCTAAGCGGTCTTCCCGAAATTTTTAATAGATTCGTAATAATTGCGATAAACTATAAATCAGCTTCATTTAAAGAACCGATAAAACACAAGGAAGAACCTGGCGTTGACACATTTGTTTGAAGAACATTTAGAAAACAATTCATTTTTCTGAAGCTCCTGCCAAATAAGGAAATTGGAATTTCAATAACCAATGTGATATAATACACCGCCAAGATAAGCCATATTTCTTGAAGAAGACCTACATATGCACTTCAAATACAAATCATAAATTTCGCAAGAGTTTTACTTTAGCTTCATTTTGTTTAATTAGACCTTAAGCTCTTCCATGATGCCACTTGACTAGTGTTGGTAACAAATATCTGATACCCTCCTACAAATACATATCCTTCGACCGCCCACATTCCATATGTTGATGATATCACTTCAGCTTTCAATATTTGTTTAATTCAAAAGATCATGTGAAATTCGAAGGGAAACGGTCGGCGAAACCGGCGAGACGAATCGCGTTTCGCCAAAAAATCGTCGCACTCGAATCCCGCGAATCGAGACCGACTCGACTCTCTCATTTTTTTGTTTGATTTCCTCGTGCACATTCTAGAGAATGTTTTCCATTTACTATTTTGTTCGAGTTTAACAGTTTGTCTTGGCGTGTAGTCGCAAACCAGCAACAGTATTGATATCGTATCAATTTCATTTTTTTCGTTTCTTTTTTTAAAGTAGTTTGAAGTTGAAAATCAGTATTTTGAGAGTTGAGATTTCCTATTTAATAAAATTTCATTTACAACAAACATAAATAATCGTAAATTATATGCATTGTTTTTCTTTTAATTTCTGATTTATCTTTTAATTTTTTTTTCTTTTAATTTCTGATTTAATTTTCCTCGAATGTTTATACGAAACCCGTCTCTCAGTGCAAATATCTATGTTTTTTAAATTCCAAAAATTCGAAAATCAATTCCATTCTTCGGAAATTAATTTTTTGGTGGTTACTATAGAAATAGGTCAAATATGTAATATTCACAATATTACCAGAAAACCTCAAAAGTTGTTTAAATATGAGTCGAAGAACTAAGCCCGTCTGAACACGTCATGCGGTCCATTTTAAACAAAATTTCCTATAAAGGAAACACAACTTCTAATAAACATTTCGAGACCGACATTTGCAAATAATTAGAATGAAAGTCACCATTCTCATTCGTATTTTGTTACTCATACAATCTTGTTTTATCGAAGTAATTCAAGTGAAAATTTCAGAGAAACAATGACGACTTACAAGCCAGTATGGGATGCTCCCGACGACATTCCTGCGCAGACATGTAACTGTCATTATCCGATCGGTCTCGTTATCTTCTTGATATTCACCATATTCTCGCTGTTGGTGTGCATTTGCGTTTGCTGTTTTGATATTACCAAATGTGGTAAAAGAAAACAAAGTGCCGAAGCAGCGTTGCGCAAGGTCTCCATCGATCCAAGATTGATGGATGCTACCAAATTTATAACTGATCGAAAGGTGAGTCTGACAAGAAGAATTTCAAGATACTTCAATTAGTAAAAATAAATTTTTGGGGATTCATAAGTGAAATTGGTTACGGTTTCATAGTTTACTCGAATCCTCAAGAACTCCGATTTTTGAACATTTGAGTACATGCCCAGAGCGACTGATGAGATTTTGAACTTCTCCCACCAATGCACAAATAAATAGTGGATCGTTAGACTTTGCTCAAATCAGACAGTCAGACGTGTCGAGCAAATATTATTTTTGCTATATTTTCGTTTCAGTTGTCGCTTGACCCGCGCCTTCTCGAATACAGTCAGCTATTGAACTCGAGCAGCACGAGCTCGTCGTCGCAACAATCACGTAGCATCGATATTCCGTCGAATCTCATTTATTCGACGGACACCTCGCTTGTAACCACCGTGTAGTTTTCAATCATTCTGTTTGTTTGTTCGTTCATCTCCGACATCGACCAATTCTTGCTAATTTTTTTCGGATTGATCTCAGGTTCTATTTTATTCTCAATCGCCTATGTATATTTGGACTAATAAATATTTTATATCGCAATAATTTATTACAAAGTGTGCATTATCGGCAGATATAAGGGTGAAACCCGCAAGAAGTGAGAAATAATTAGGATCGGATCGAAGTAATGATGAAATGTTGATGAGGAATTACGGCTGGAAGAACGCGAAACAGGTGATCGGTCGTTTGCGATGTTCGCAGAACACCGGCGAAGTGACGACGATGTATGAGAATGAGTGTCGCGAACAGATCACGTTCACATTTCGGCCCGGAAAAAGTTCGGACGCCGCCGAATAAATCATTTGTTTCGAGATGGATGGTGAAATTGTCATTTTCTGAAACCGCATGGTCTGATTGCCCGATAAACTCTAGATCACCTTATGCATCGCATTTTTGAGTCTTGAGCTGTTGCACTTGGCCACCTTCTCATTTGCTTTTTTCGGTTCCGAAATATCCGGAATATTTTCTGACGCTTCTTCCTCATCATAATCAAGCTTGCCTGATTTCGATGTATTTTCGTCATATATCGCATTATCATTTGTCTAAATATTACCGTTCATTTTTTAAAAATAATTAAATTTAAGCTACAGGGTGTCATTTAAGTTCCCGCACAACTTTGAAGACGTATATTTCTGAGACTAAAAGTCCAAATCAAACGAGACTTGAAATATTTTTTATCTATAGTATAACAAATAATTTTATATTAACTCTTTTCGATTCGGCCTTCTTTCGGAGCTATGACTTCACAGAGACGCTTCGGGTAGGATGCGACTGTGGTACGCAGGTATTCGATGGAAAGATTGTGCCATGCCGCCAGTAATGTCTTCTTCAGAGCCTCTACACTTTAGTGGGGTTTTGCGTTGACCTTCTCCTGCAAGAGCCCATCACGGAAAAGTCAAGCGGGTTCAGGTCTGGGGAGAAATCAGGCCATTCGGATGACTTGATGAAGTCGGGAAAATGGGTCTGGCACCACTCCTGAGTAGTTTTGGCAGTGTGGGCGGGTGCTCTGTCCTGTTGAATGACCCATTTCTGCCCACCGAAATGCGTTTGAGTCCAGGGCATCACATGCTTCTTTAAAATGTCCCAAACGTAGACTTCTTTGTTCATTTTCACCCCCTGATCCACGAAATCCAGGGGGCACCTCCCGGTTGAGCAGATGGCACCGAAAACCATCACACTGGCAGGATGTGAGGCTCGATTAATTGTTCTTCCTTTCTCAGAAGCTTGCTGGGATGTCTGGGCAAGTACTCAATGGTTTTGTGAGTAGAATGCCGTCTCCATAGTGAATAGCTTCTCGTCGGAGAAGACAGTGACGAGGTGTTCTCCAGACCGCGTGCGCGCAAGAAGTCGTTTTGCTTTTTCGAAGCGTCTCTGCTTGCTGACGGCCGATAGAATTGCCGCTTTTTGGACACGATATGGGGTCAGTCCAAGCTTCGTTTTGACAATTTGTTCCATAGCGAAGATGCTCATTCCCATGTCTAACGCCATCTTTCTCATGCTCCTGTGGGGGTTTCGCCTGATCCTCGATTTGACGGCGTTGATCTTCTGAGGAGTGGTTACCGAGACGGGTCTTCCTTGTCTGAGACGGTCACTGGTCGTATTTAGCTCCTTGAAACGTTTGAAGGTGTCGTAAAGCGTTCTACGAGGCACACCGAGGCGTTGAATGATGGCTCTCGGGCTCACATTTTGCTTATGAAGTTCGATAATGGAAGCGCGATGGATGTTAGCCTTCGCCATTTCTCGGAAACACATCCGAATGAAGTGAAACTTGGAAAATAAGTAAAATATACCTTATTTAACAAAAATAAATTGTATTGTTTCACGAAAAGTGCGACAGCCAAGCTCTTCATGACGTCAAACTTTTGTGCGGGAACTTAAATGACACCCTGTACTAACAGTTTCTTCAGGTTTCTTCTCGTCTTCGGTTTTTCGCGGATCTCGTGCTTTTCCGTAGCCGATGTTAGCTGAAGTATCGATTGGCGTTTGAGTGATTGTTTCCGGGCTTGGCAATGGAATTGTCGATCCGCTATTGGCTAAAAATTGAGCGATTCTTCAGGACTCGATGTGTTGTTGCACTTACTATGATATTTGTCGACTTCTTGTTTGAATTGATCAATCTCATACCTATGGTCGATCATATAACCATTCGTCTTCTTTTCTTCGGTCATATATTCAAGAGAAATTGGTGGAAGAGAAGAAGAGGGTCCTAATACAAAATTAGAATTTATTGTGGGATTCAAGCGATTGATTTAATTGAAAAGTGACTTGACTATGTATCAAATGTCTTCCATAGGTCTTTTTTTTATTAAAATAAAAACTTACCAGTAAATTCATATCCAGACTCACTTATTTCTGTAGTCGTCTGCCCCACAGTGCCCTCACCACGAGCTTAAATAAATTTGTTGTATGAACGAAATAGTATGTTGATGGTGAATTATTCGATAATTATGGTGGCTGAACATGTTCGGATGGATGCGTGGCACTTCAACATAACGAATTAATACGCAAAAGTGAAACTAGCTAATCATCGAATGAATTATTGTCCAATTGGATTATTTTGTTAATCAAACAATCTTATCAAGTTGTACTTACTTTGCTCCGAGGTATAAAAACTTGGTTGCACTTGAGTCGTGCTGGCTGGCTCGTAGTTCTCCGTGCTCGATGCAGCCGCTACAGGCGATGTGGCCGGATTGTATTCATTGTTATGAAGAGAATTAGATTTATTTTCTTCCTCATTAACCTCCTCAAATGGAGTTTGAGTTAATTTGAGCTCAGTGGTTCGAAGCTCATTGCTCCCATTGAACTCCGAATGTGGAATATAAGCTGGCGCGACCAGCACTTCCGGTTGAACTTCATTTACATCATCTATAACATTAAAACGGATTGGCGTCTTTTTTCTGAAATTCCGAGTATTACCTGTGACTGTATTTCCTTTATCGATTTGTTCTTGACTCGGATGAACCTCGATTCTCTGAACATAATTAAAACCATATGCGTCATTTTATTTTGTCTTGAATTCCAAATTATTGTATGTATATAAGACTATTCGCGACCCCGATGAATTCTTGCTGGTCAGTCGGACTGCCAATTATTAGCCGGCTGTTCGAGACATACACACTCGCGGTCAGCAACGGGAAATGCTTGATGAATTACCGATGGAATTACAAGTGAAAGAACATCGAAATTGGGCGAGAAATTCGGTTTCGTTTGTGGTTAATAATTGAAAAACTCACCGTTCTTGACAAGGATTCCGGATTGTAAGATCTGAAGTAAAGAAAATTAATATGGATTTACAAAAAAAGCAAACTCGGTTGTTGTAGTTTCTTTCGAGCCATCAAACACCGTCATCAGCTGATTCACATATTGAAGTTCGACTTTTGACGGTGGCTGAAAATTTAAAAATTTGATTCAAAATTTTCCATGCACCAATCATACTTGTAATTGAACGCGTTGTAGTGATGATTGCTGATTTTCAAAACTAGGCTGCTGTGGTTGCTGAGATTGTACATACGCAGCCTGTTGCTGCCTGAAAACGAAACTTTTGAACCGTTTGAAACCGCTTATTATGCATACGATTCATATCCAAACTGCTGCCGTTGTGGCGCCACCAAAATTTGCGGTGGCGCTGGTGGCGGCGGCGGTGGTGGCAGAGATTGCGGCTGTGGAATCGCGTAGTTCTGCGGGATGTACTGCGCCGGAGCTAGCGGTTGAGTGCGATATGGAAGAAATGAAGGAAATGAGGACTCTAAAAATGGAGGGTTTGGCCAAAAAAAAAATTGGAAATAGATACGTGATGATTGGGCACATGGAGGTGGAGCACAAAGACAAGCTGATGATGGAGGTGGAGCATTGCAAGATGTTTGACAGTGACACGGAGAACCTGGGAAAAACGATTTTTTGGGAAAAAAATAAACAAAAGAATTTCCTATGTTTTTTTTTTAATATCTTGACCAAATTAGTGAAAAGCACTTATAGACACTTGATCTTAATCCGATCTTGTTTAATATCTTGAAATTGAAGCCTTTGAATTTTCTCAAAATCTGGGTTATCGCATTCTTAAACGACTCACCAAATCCCAATGATGGAAAGAATAATGAGTGTACGATTTCAAGTAGATGTAATCCAATGAGCACCGCAATCGAAATTCGCATGATTCCCCTCCCTATAAATTATTATTTATACTTGGAACTGCCCACAAGTGCAAAAATAGACTGGCCAAACACGCCGAAACAGATTCATGGACGTCGGCGGCCCGTGTTCGGACATGCTTATATATGTTTAATAGCAAAAAATGCGCGGCGTTGTGTTACAAGAATAGTAATAATAATAATAATACGAGACAGCGCGGTTAATTGAAATAGTTGACCGATCATGGGAAAATGAAAGAAAACGCAATTTGACGACAAAAATGAATCCATCCGGTAGGTTGGTTATGCATGTGTACATATATCCTGGCGGAAAAAAATGAAGTAGGTAGAACAAGTTTTTAATATAATACAAACAGATGAACATTATTAAAGAAAGAGAAATTACCATAAATCAGGGAATAAGTTTTCTATAAGGAGAAAGTAAGAGTTCAACAATGATTATTATGGTACCATGAAGGTTTCGAAAAAAAAGTTAAAAATACTGGTTCAAAAAATTCAAAAAATTGAAGCATCATTTTCGGCAATTTACAAATTAGAATTTTTGCTTTTTTTATTAAATTCTGCTTGCTGCTAGTATTAAGGAAGTAGAAATATGGTATGCGAATAATTTGAATCTAGTAAATAATTTTTTTTAATAGGAACTGTTGTTTCAAATCTCTAGCAATTTTCCTACATTCACTACTTTCATTTTATATTTGAAACGGTAAATTGGAGCATAGGGGAAAAATTAAGAACCCGGAGATTTACAAGAAATTGGCATGAATCCGTCATTCAAAATGAATACTCAATCATTCATAATAATAATAGTAACGGGGGCGCATACGAGGTGAATACGAACACCCTTGGAAACGATGTTCGACAAAAATGTCGAGACCATTTATAGGGGAAATTGGGAATCACTTAACAACACGTTACTACACTTTAAATCTTATTAATCATCAGAAAATGCTTGGCGGCAAAAGCAATTTAATTGAAATTGTCACCAAAAAAATGATGTTTGACGGTTGTGGAAAGGAGAAATCAGAGAATGGATGGAAACTAAAAAGTATGGATTGCCAAATTATGAGTTTTGATCGTATTCGTGTATATGTTCGAATCGTATTCTCCCCCCTCCTAGTTTGAATAGCCTACGTACAGCCCCTCCCATCGACGCACCTACTAGCTTTACCAAATTAGCCGAAAAAACGACGAATAAGACGAATTGGTCGTCGGTCGCGTTGCGATTCCAAATAAATAATTGCCAACTCGATATACGATACTATTATTACTATTATTATCGATGGTTTTGTGATGGCAAAACTGAAGGATGACTGACCAATTGAATTTCGACGAATTTCGATTGATAATTGCTTATCGAATCAGGCTAGTAATTAGACGGCAATCCTCGTTGTTTTTTTGCTTATTAAAACATCCGCATTTTGTTTTCGCGAATTTGGCATCCCGCCGACATCCGGCCACTAGCATATTTTAAGAAATGATTAATGAGAACGAGTGTGATGTAACTGAAAACAATAAAAATTTATTATTGTAAAATGGTTACGAAAAATGTTTAATGTTGCATTGTTATACCTCTGTTGTGGTAATCGAGAAAAAAACTAAATTGATGAGTTTCGCACAATCGTTAGAATTCTTATAATTCACATTTACTGTTAAAATACCTCTGAAATTTTGAGGACTCGCTGTATAGATTTTTTGTTTATAATGAAGGTTGAAGACGCAAAAATTATTTAATAAAATTCGGGAATATATGATTTCTTTTTTAAAATGCGAATGTCAGATCTCTGATATTTTCTCTTTTTTTTAGGATTATCCCCGCTTCATTTTCTAATATATTTTTACGTGAATATTTTACTCAAATTTTTGAAATTTTTTAGAGAAGGTCTCATTTCGCAAAGCTCACTTAATATTGGCAAAAAAATATTAAAAGTAATATTTTTTTAAATTTCATTTAGGGGAATCTCATTCAATTTTTGTTTCTCAAAATAAATCAATATTTATTTTATTCCCCTTTCTCGTATCTCATCGGTAATTTCTTTCGGAATTCTTATACAGATTTACATACATATACACATATCCGAGATATAGGTCAAATATGATACGAGAGATTTGCATATCTCTTCTGAATCTGTTCATTCGCCGTAATGAACGGTGAGAAGAAGGTGACTGTCGATTATTTTCGACTTGCCGGCGTTACGGTATGCGTATCATCAACCCTTACTATTCTAATTGCCATTGGTTGCTTCATCGATCTTCACAGTTCAATTGGGAATATTGAGGATGAGATTATTGCAAGGCAAGCTTCTTTCAAGGTATATTTTTTATAGAGTTCAATTTTTAAAAAATTCCAAAATTTAGGCAAAATCTCAAATGATTTGGGCTGAGTTGATGGAAACTGGAAGAACAATTCGAGTTCCGAGATCGGCAATATTTGGTGATGACAAGAAAGGGGTTCTTCATCAGTGTAGCCGTAAGATTTTCAAATTTAATTCAACACTGATGTATAATTGAAGAGTGTACTCGCTTGCATTGTCCTCAAGGTGCCATTGGAGAGGAAGGACCACCTGGACAGGATGGAAGTCCTGGAATGCCAGGCAAACCAGGATCTCCTGGACTTGATGGAAGCGACGTTGAGCTTGAACCACAAGACGAACTGCCTTGTTCGATCTGCCCAGCAGGACCACAAGGACCACGCGGCGCCCAGGGTGAACGTGGTCTTCCCGGACGGCAGGGTCATAAAGGGCAGGCTGGTCACTCGGGAAAACCTGGTCATCCCGGAGGAATCGGTGCCACTGGATCACGTGGACAGAATGGCAATCCAGGAACTCCAGGACCTAAAGGGCCACCAGGAGATACTATTATTGCGGGCGAAGGCGTTAAAGGGCCGCCAGGAATGGCGGGAAGCCAAGGGCCAAAAGGACCACCAGGAACTCCAGGAAGACCATCGAACATTCGAGGACCGCCCGGAAAGCCAGGAACTATTGGAGCTATTGGAGCAACTGGAAAAGTAGCAAAAAACTTAAAGAACTCATCCAAAAGCTAAATATTTTAGTATGGCGCATTCGGAGAACCGGGAATTATCGGAGCTCCAGGGGAACCTGGATTACCAGCAACATACTGTCCTTCGGATTGTGGAGTCAATACAATCTTGTCGCAATTCGGAGCTCAAGTATTTTCGGCCCAAACGAAACTCTTAATTATTTTGATTCAGAAGCCCGACTCGATTAATGGCGAAACAGCTCCACCAGCTGCTTATCCACAAGAATCTGAGCAACCGGCTCAACAACCACAAATCGAGGATGCCCCAGCTGATCAATCATTCGAAGAGACATCATACCGCAACTTTTTTTTCCGTGAATAATTGTATCGATAATCCCTCAATAAATTTTGTGTTTAATCAGTGCACTTTGCTCACCGTTTCTTATCAATTTGATATCAGTAGGCAACACAGTGTGTTTAAATTCGACATCGCTTGTCTGTCAATCCGTTATAATCTCTTTAAATTCCTTAGTTATATAATTAATCTTTTAACCTCTTTTTGAGTAGAAAAATGTAGAAAATTGCATTCCTTTTTCTGATAATTTCATTATGAATTCGAAAAATATTTTATTTTATTTACTCCGGAAAATTTATAATTTAGACTTTAGTTTGCAATAATTTTTCATTTCAATGAATTCCGAAAGCACAAGAAGGCCACCCCCGGAATTGAGCGCCGCGCAATGATATCGATATTTTGAGACCAACCATAGTTAAATTAGTGTTCAGCATGAAAACCTTAAAAGGAGGTGCCACGAAATATTCAAATGTTGCAATCTTTGAGGATTTGAAACTTTCTTCTTAAAGTTGCTTTATATTTCTGCACCGCTAGAAAAAAAGCGGTTTTTGACAACTACTTATGTACATTTTAATTTACATTTTAAGATACTAACTTGAAATAAAAGTATTTAGGTAATTTTTTCATGTTGGTCACGATTTTCACACTAGTTGGTCTCAAAATATCGAAATAATTGCGCAGCGCTCAAATTTGGGAGTGGCTTTATAATTCTGCAACGCGCTGTAGAAATAATTGTATCACCACGTGCTCATTAGCGTTATCAGCAAATTTCAATGAACCCAGAATGAAAAGATGATGCCAACCAATATCGGGAATTACTTGAAGCAAAAAAATTAATCTGAAGGAATTTTGTGTGGAACTCGAATAGAAATTTCGGCAATCATCTCATTTTCGAATCGAATCAAGATAGAACTATGCAGCGGCGATAAATTTCATTGACAGAAATTTCTGATTTTCGATAGTCTCCGTCTTTGAAAAATGAAAAATTTTCGCGAATTGATGTAGTCATTTCACCTCTCACAGCAGTGCATAAAACAGATTTCTGAAAAAAAAACCCTGCTAAACCGTAAAAAGGGATGCAGAAAAAAACCAAGATTTTGGAGAAAGAACCTCTTATCTGTATCAAAATGTATCAGCCAGATTCATATAAAACAAATAATTGTATTCAATGATCTTCGCATTCCAATAGGCACACTTTAGCATACCGAAATGTGCCCCACGTGCTTCGGAAGCATCGCTGTTATCTTTTCAAATTTGATGACCCAAACATTGATGCGAATTTTCGAAAGATTCCATGAAACCCCGTCAAACATAACTGCTGCTTATTCATATAGAAATTGCAACATTTTGCAGAAATGGGGTTTGGACCATCATTTTGGAGTCATAGTCTAGTAGCAGTTGTATCCGTTCTTCTTACCTCGGCTATATGGTTAACGGTTCGTTTTATATATGCAAAGTATAAGATAATGTTGAAATATTTAAGGCATATTTCGCAGGAATCCAACCAAATTTAAACAAGGGCATAACCAATAACAACATAACGAATAATTATTGCAATTCTACGAGTCAAACTTGCCAAAAGGCGGAAATGCCAAAATGTGCCGATACTTGCGAGTATGGTCTTTTTTCTAAACTAAATTGGATTCCATGATTTATTCGACGCTTTCAGAGTTAATTTTGCTAATTGAAACTATCATTATCTAATTTCAGGTTTGTGATTTGCGAATCAATCCCGGCTGGAATGCAATTTGATCCGAAATACCCTATATTCAACACTACCACGGATTGCTGGCTTAGATTGATGCGTTAGTTTTTTATTCCTAATACGACGCGCTTATCAATTAATCCGACAGTTTGATCCGCTTAGTTCGCTACTGTGCCAAAATGATACGAGAACGAACAACGAAACAATTAGAACAATTTTCTTTATAGAAGAGGCGAAACAGGAAATTCTCATCGCTAGCTATTATTGGAGTCTACTTTTGAAGGATGCCGACGGATTTACCGATGATAGAGCGAATACCAGTTTCAATGTGAGAAAATAATAATAATAATAGCAAGAAGAATGTAGTACAAATTTGGATGTAGGGCCAATTAATATACGATACACTTTTGAAAACCGCCGTCGAAAAGAATATACCTATTCGAATCGCGCAAACTTATGACAAAGATGGTAATGTGGCAAACGTTCCTTTTGATACGAAAATTTGTCCTCAGGATATGTTGAAACCGCTGATTTAGTAACAAATTCCAAAGGAAAGATTGAAGTGCGTTCGTTGGACTTCACACAATGGTGAATGTCTCATTAATTTTTTTGAATTTTGATCTTAGGTATCCGGGAGGAATTCTACACACGAAATCATGGTCGGTGGATTCAAATCACTTCTACATCGGATCAGCCAACTTTGATTGGAGATCGCTGACGCAAGTGAAAGAGCTGGGAATCGCTGTATTCAACTGCCCATGTATGGGAGAGGACTTGAAAAAACTACTAGAAATCTACTGGCAGATGGGAGCTCCCGGAGCCAAACTTCCACAACAGTGCGCAAAATCATAAACTATTCTAATATTGAAACTGCTCTAGATGGGATTCGAAGTTAGCGACACCAGCGAACCATGAAAATCCTATGAGCGTGAATCAGCCTACGGGAAACGAAGCTATCTACATTTCGGTAACACATTTTCTTTTAAATTTAATCTGATCTGATTAAAAAAAAACAATTATTAAGGCTTCTCCACCTGGTTTCCAAGCTTGTGGAAGAGAAGATGATCTAGCTGCTATGATAAAATCGATCGACGATGCAAAGGAATATCTAAACATGGCAGTCATGGATTATTCGCCAACTACACTATACATGAAAAATGCGAACAAGTCATTTTGTGTTCTACACATAATAATGTAAGCCTTAATTTGAATTTAGGTGGATGCCGGCATTGGACAACGCGATTAGAAGAGCAGCATTCGAAAGAGCTGTTAAAGTTAGATTCATGCTTTCACTGTGGCCTCACACTTACAATGACGCTTATGGGTTGATGTATTCGCTTCAAGACATTTCAAAAAACTTGCCGTGTTATCAATACAAAAATGGTGAGAGAAAACAATGTTGAAATGTAAAATGAGAGAGTCACTTTCAGATATTTGCACAAAAAAGGGATCTATCGAAGTCAGGTTCATAGAGGTTCCGTCAATGAAAGATATATACGGAGATATTCCGTATGCTCGAGTTTATCATAATAAATACTTCACAACCGAATCTACTGCATACATAGGTATTGTTAATAAACTTATGTAGCAAACAATTCTTTGCTGTTTAGGCACATCTAACTGGTCAGCAGATTACTGGGAATACACCGCCGGGATCGGATTTATTATCCGCGCGGACGACACTTCCGTCAAATCCAGACTAGTTCAAGATTTGACTTCAATTTTTGAAAGAGACTGGAATTCGATTTATACAATTCCGCTCAATCAATTTGACATTTCGGGTAACAGGACAACAATTGTCTAATAATGTCTTTATCAATAAAAATGGAATTATTTCTTGCCGAATCCATACCCATAGTAGGGCATTCCCATACCGTAGCCGGCCATTCCATATCTGCCGATGCCGCTCATTCCGTAGGCTCCCAATCCGTAAAACGGTCGACCGAAAATTCCATTATTCCAGCCTCCATATGTGAACGTGTATGGTATATCGAGTTGCCTTTTGACTCGAGACTCTCTACTAAACAATTTCAAAATTGCATTTTTTAAAATGCTTGATGACGACTTACTGATGCCGGCACACAGCGGCTGATATTATCGAAAATACGAAAATTGTGAGGAAAAATACAACGCGCATTCGTTTTTTTCAAAACTACGAAAAATTTAAGTGAACGCAATGTTTTCCGCCAATTATCTCGTTTCGAATTATTGACCGTACAAGGTCATCCGATCCGGGATTTTCTGCCACAACAATAACGAAGAGATCAAACGTTTAAATATTTTTCGTTTTAATAGTTCTGGTAACAGAAAAATAACTTGCAAAATTGGAGGTATCAGTTTTGAGATTTGAAATTCAGTACCGGTTAAAAGGGTATAGAAGCGAAAGATGCTTCACGACGAATTACTAACGGTTTGTAAAAAATTGTGATTGTTTGCATTTATTTTAATGGCACTCAATGGCTTTAACGTTTAAAAAATACTGTCTTTTTTCGAATTTTTTTAAATATGACACTTTTCATAATCATATTTGAACTTCAATATATGTATATAGTAGATTTTTTCGAAATTTTTCAGCTCAATCGCTTTATTTTTTGAGAAGTTAGCCTCAAAAAAACCAAATGTTTAACTTCTTTTCATCGGTATTGTACAATTTCTTTGATTTGCTAGTTTTTTTTTCGACTTCATCGATATATCTCAGATATTTCGCGCAGAGTTCGCATAGTTTCAAATGAAAGTGAAAACTCCCCACGATTTTTCTCACAGAAACACTTTTCATTAAATGGAAAAATTTGGAAAAGAAAAGTCAACGCGAAAAAGGAAAATAAAATACCTTATTTTCTTTTTTACTTTTCTTAGCCTTGAAATTTACCTAATTCATTTCAAAAAAAAATTTTTTCTAAAGAAATTTGCAGGGTTTCAACTACTGTTTTAGGTGCAAACCCCCAATGAAGGTAGTTAAATATTCAAAGATGAAAAAGAAAATTTAAAAACAATACAAATATTGAAATTTACCAACTTTTATTGGCATACGTCCTTCGCTATGGTCTCAACCGGACTAACGGTCGATCAGGGCCCATTTTGGTAATTTTTAACTTCAATTTCAAGGAGATATCAAGCGAAAAAAATCATGTGAAATAAAAAAAAACATTGACGCGTAGCGAGACCAAGAGAGCGAAAAACAGACCCGTAAATCTACCCGCAAGCGACAGTCGTCTGACGCCAATCATCGGTAGATAACAGAAAAATCCTCACAAAAATCATCCAAAACCTCAGTTCTAACCACATTTTTCGAAGGAAATCGGCAATTTTTTAGACAGTTATCAGAAAAAAAATTGCGAATGCCTGTTAATCGGCTTTCAAATTCCCCATCATCACAAGGGATTTTAAGAAGCCCAACTCTACACACGCAGACATTGTGATCAGGCTCTCGTCAGGATTCTGTTTCAAAAATGACCTACCTGGGTATCGTAAAAACCAAATCAATCATTATACGAATGGACCTATTCATGCTATAAAAATGTACAAAGCTGCACATTTTTCCAATGCAGGAATATTCAAAAAATGCACATGTAATGTAAATTTTTACACATTTTTTTCTGTAAAAAATTACATTTCATGAATAGGTCCATAAAATAATTTTAAAAAATTAAATAAAACAGCAAAAAATAAAGCGTTAAACAATAGGTCTAGTCGAATTCGATGATAAGAGCGTGTTTGGTCGGAACAGCTATGATGAATGTCGAGTTCTTACTGAAATTATTTTGGTGTCATTTCAATTTCTGTCAATTTTAGTCGAAAGGGGCAAATCCACAATTTTAGATTTCCACCATAAGAGGAATTCCAACAAAATAATCAAAAAACAAAACAAACCTTAATGGTTCATGTACATATATCAATTTACAATTGCAAATCGTGCATTCAACGGCGATTCCCACGATTATCAGTTAAATATTGAAGCAGATGGACATCTGGAGCATTCCATACTTCATTGTATCTGTTTTGGAAACATTTTAAAAAATTTGAGCTTTTGAAATTGAAACCGTGACTGATTTTCTCGCAACAACATTATTGCAAAGTTGAGAAAGTGAAAAAGAGCGGCTGGGAGTATTTTTGAGGTCTGAAATAAACGGAAATTTGCAACCAGTTTAAAACGTTTTACAACCTGTACATCCTCGCCAGATTTAAAAATGCCATCCACAGTTGTGAAAATTCGACAAAACACTAAGTTCAGCCAAATTCTCATTGTTTTGTTCACTCCGATGCCAATTTTCTTGGATTTATGTATATAAAACATCTTTTTAGAAATAATAAGTCATTAAAACGGTAAACGATTTTCACCAATCAAGAATTTCAAGAATGTTTGTTTCGTTTTTAGTTAATGTAGCGTTTCCAAAGACAAAATTATACTAATAAAAAATATTTTTGCCAATTTGGCGAGTCCCAAAAACGACGTCTCCCGGTGCCACTCCACCGTGTGCGCCTAGACTTCCCCAGGCATTTCCCTCCTGGGTCGGACCCTTTGGGTCACCGATGCGGGGTGTTGGTCCGCGTCTCGTGGCACGAGAAGCGCGGCACCCGTGCGGGCTCTCTCAAATCCGACTCAACGAATGTTCTCGAGACACGCTCACAGCGGTCCGAGATAGTTCGATGTGAGACTCATGGAAACGCAACGCGCGAAATATTTTCAAATTTCAGAAGATTTCTCGAAAAACTAGTGAATATCGCTAGAAAAAAATTAAAAAAAACTCACACGAAACAACCGCAAATGATAGTTTTCGACACTTCGTACTTCGCGTCAATCCATTCGCACTTGTCGTCATCGGTTCCGTCGATTGTGAATAATCTACAAATTGATCATTGAAAGCACTTTATAAGAATAAAATCTAAAATCTAAAAATTTATCGCCGGTCGAGGCATTTTCCATATCCAAACTATTCAATAGCATTAGTTCCAAGAAAAATGTCTCTAAACAACAAATGTTTTGTTCAAACAGGCCCGATTTCGGTGGGGTGAATTTTTTGATGAATCTATCCAAAGGAATGGGGTGTAATATGCGAGTTATAGCAATCACTCAAACTAATCTAGCGATTTTTCCCATTAGCCAATATCTCGGAAAACGGAATCTAAGCTTTTCCTCTGTATACGTCTATTTATCAAGATATTGGATGCCACAGTACATATTAAGTTTTTAGTTTCAAATTGCTTTTAACTTACCTCTTTTCAGATTTATTATTACGTAGCTTATACCAACTTCAATATATTGAAATGACAACAAACTCAAACGTCACTCAAAAATGTCACGCCAGTCAAAATTAAACGTCAATGAATTTTTTTGAACAATCTTGATCGCATCTTAATCGTTACAGTTTCTCTCATTAATTTTTAATTAGTCCAATGGAAATATGAAAGATTTGAAGGAAATATTGATTGTCCTTCTCTGCCATTATATTTTCCAGGTAATATTTTATTGACCAAGTGCGAAATTTTCTGGATGACTGGTGTCGACCGGAAGGAAGCCGAACACAAATTTGCAGCAATGAACCATAAAGTATTGAATTACATAGAATTTAAGCTTGGCCTCTTTCAAACGATGTATTCTTCTATTATTAAACCAGATGTACCCAAAAAACGAGCACGTTCGACAATTAATCGGAAGGAAAGCGGATCCACGCTGGAGAAAATGCGCGGTAGCTCTGTGGTGCCATCGAGCTCGAAAGCACGAACGAATGGAAAGCCGAAAAGAGAAATATTGAATGCAAAAAGTTTGTCGAGTATCAATATGCTGCTGAATAAAAACCAAAACGCGGAATCAGCGAACGTGATCGAAAAAATGGATGCCTACACTCAAGACGCGTTCGATAGAGTGTTCAAAGGTCACTTCAGCCGAATACCGAAACCACAGAGCAAATTGGTCAGAGTTTTCACAAGGTAACACCTTTCATTTTGATTCGATCATGAATTGTTGTGATTTGAAGCTCAACTTTTACTGATACAACTGTCGAACGAAATGCATTGATGGAAGAAGTTTATCCGAAATTGAAGGAATATTGCAGAGAGACCCATGGTTTAGATTTTCAAGTAATAAACGACTTAATTCACACATTTCTGCTTATTCCATTTTTAAAGGTTGTCGATATGCGTTGGGGAGTTCGTGACGAAGCCACTGACGATCATATGACGACCAAATTGTGCATTAACGAAATTGCCAATTGTCAAAGATTGTCGGTTGGCGCAAATTTCGTGGTGTTCCTTTGTCAAAAATATGGATACCGTCCAATTCCATCCGAAATTCTCTCGACTGAATTCGAAATGTTGAAGCGAACGTTGAAGGAGGAAAACGAGGATGTGACGCTTCTTGAAACATGGTACATTGAAGACACTAATTCCGTACCCGCAATGTTTATGCTTCAACCAATCTCTAGTATTCTTGTCAATTTTAACAATAAGGTTAGAGATGATAAATTAGGTATATTTTATCTAAAAATAATATTGCAGCGGATTCCCAAATTACAAGAACAAGATGCGAAACAATGGTGGGAATGTGAAGCCAAAATGCAGCAATTGTTAAGGAAAGCAGCAAAGAGCTGCTACGAAAAAGGATTGCTTGATCACGAGACAATGCACAACTATTTTATGTCAGGTATTCATCAAATGGAAAAAAAAACAGTTGAAATAAATTTGGCAAAATTCAGTTACCGAGCGAGAAGTCATCCATGGAATTTTGAAGGCAAAAAATCCGAATGAGCATTGTTTGTGCTACATCAGACACATTAACAATATCGCGCTTTCACAAATGAAAACTGCTTCGAAGTTTGTCGATATTGCTCATAATCATGTAGGTGTCAAATTTCAAATCCCAATATGAGAGAATCGCAGTTTTAGGTTAATGCCGAAGCTCAAAAATTGTTGGCAAACTTAAGAGATGAGCGAGTGCCGGCGAAACTTGCCGCCACAAACATCAAGTAAATTTTTTGTTGAAATGAGTTTTATGCGAAGAAAATGATGGAATACGCTTGAAATATATTGTGTTCACGTTCAGACGATCGACAATCGAATGGGTGGGTCGCGACGGAATAAATGTTCAATACCACGCCGAATACGTTCGTCAGTTCTGCTCAGATTTTTATACTAGCATCACTCAAATGGTTGGTAGATTTGTCGAAATTGCCATTTTAGGATATTTTCAGGTTGATAATGCAATGGAAAAACATGCAAGATTTCGGGATCCGTTGTTTAGCGAAGTATTAACTCATTTGAATACAAGCATGTCGGTTTCGAAAATGTTCTTCGGACGAGATGAACAATTGGAATATGCGAAACAGTACCTGATTCAAAACTCAAATCTTCCACTTATTCTGCAGGTTCGTATCACCTAGAAAATTACAGAAAAAAACTGTTATACATATACTTAGGAGTGGTAATTTATATTTTTAATTGATCTATTGTAATTAGTTTTTGTTATTTTGAGGGAGAGAATGGATGCGGAAAGACCTCGTTGTTGGCGAAAATCGCGATGAAAGTGCGCGAATGGTACGGCGACGCTTGCTCGCCGGTGGTGATCCTTCGATTCTTGGGAACTAGTCCGGATAGTTCCAATATCGCTCCATTACTCACAACCGTTTGCGATCAAATCGCTTATAATTATGACGAAAGTTTGATCAACTCGGCTCCGAACGAGCTCTCGAAACTTTTTCAACACTTCAAGAAAATAACAGCGTTGGCGAGTCAAGAGAAACCATTGATTATTATTTTCGACAGTCTCGATTTGATTTCAACAATTGATGGAGCCCACGAACTCTTGTGGTTTCCGCCAACTCTTCCGCCCTATGTGAAATTCTTCGCTTCGCTTACGCCTGGAGCGAGCAATATATCGAACAAAATACAACGATTAGTTGAAGACCGACGGCAATATCTGGAAGTGCCTAGTTTGGGACACAGTTTAGGATCAAGAGTGATTCGAGAATGGTTGGCTGAAAAAGGAAGAACGCTATCGGATAGGCAATATTCATTGGTTTCGAAAGCTCTCGATAAATGCACACTGCCCCTATTTGTGAAGTTGATATACGCAACTGTAGCACGGTGAGCAAAAATGTTTGACATCACTAATATTTACATATTTTTTTCAGATGGAAATCATATTCTCGACCACAGGAAACTATTCTGTTCTCGTCACTTCAAGAGAGCATTCATGCTTTATTTCATAGAACTGAAAGTCAGCATGGAAAACTGCTAGTTTCGCACGCATTGTCTTATATCTCTGCTGCTCGATCTGGAATTAGTGATTCAGAAGTTGAAGATTTGGTATTAGTCTCAGTATAATATAGTCGGCGTCCGGCGACTCCCATACTTGGGTAGATTTAGAGAGCGCTTAACAATTATTGAGCCGACACCTAAGAAAGACCACCCCTTCCGTAAATCAACCCAGACGCCGACAATACTTCCCCCAAAAATATTCAGGTTCCAGATTTCGCTCGACGACAAAGTTCTAGATGATATTTACCAATATCACTTGCCACCTGTTCGACGCATTCCTCCTTTATTATGGAGTCGAATTCGTTCCGATCTTCCCGGATACTTATCTGAACGCGCTGCCGATGGCGTCATTGTGCTCAATTGGTATCACGAGCAGTTTCGAAACGCCGCCATCGAGAGATATTTCAAAAATGTGAACCATCTGGAGACTTGTCATTCGGCAATGGCTGAATATTTTTTGGGTGTGTGGGGCGGAGTCCCGAAACCTTATCAATATACGGAAATGCAAAAGCAACGATTTGGAGTGACGGAAAACGAGGGTTTAGCTGATCGAAAAGTGCCGAAACAACCCAATGTGTTCACCACAAAAGATGGATATCACAGGTACTATAAATTGCAAAAAAAAACTGACAATGACATTTTTTTAAAGATATAACACGAGGAAATTAAACGAGTTGCCGTATCATCTTTTAAGAGCAGGGAGAATTGAAGAACTTTTGTCGTTATGCCTATTTGATTACGATTTTCTACATGCTAAGGTGAGTAAAAATCAAAGTTTTGAACCTTCCACCCCTTCCATTTGCTTTTTTTTGCTGCCGCAAATTCTGGACAATAAACTCACTGGAAATTCCCCCACGTGTATGCAAAAAAAAAAGTTGATTAGGAAATATCTGCGACAAAAATAGGCTCGTGTCCATTACGTAATGCAAAAGCAAAGTGGGTGGCCAAAAATTGGTTCACCGAATAAATAAATAAACAACAATAAACAACAATAATAACAACAACAACAACAATAACATCGAGTAGAAAAATCAAAATGATCAGGCGGGCTCTTCCCAGATCTTGTGCAAATTATTGAAATAATCGGCAGTGTCGTGCTTCATTCTCACGTCTTTCCCATAAACATTTTTGACTCTCGGCTCCGGGTCTTGTATGGAAACTTTTGATGAGGAAAATGCCACGGAATACTGAAAAATTCGAATAATTATTTTCACATCTAACGAATTTATTATCGACGTTGAAAATTGGCTGAATGCCAAAAAGCTAAAAGTGTGTTAAAGGCACACACCGCGCTCTAAAATCATTTCCTAAATTTTTTGGCACTTTGCCAATTTTTCGCCTTCGCTCAACGCCGATAATATGTACATTTATTACCATCGCCAAAAAACGAGCGCCTTTCGTAATTGTGGATCATCGCACTTTTCGAAGCGGTAATTCAAATTTGAATTAAAGCTGTGGGAATTCGGATATCGTAATCAAACTTTTCGTTAATGGTGCTCGTTTTTTTTGCGATTGTAATATATCTATGTATAATAAACGATTAAATCTTACTATTCTGGCATTTCGTTTTGATTCAATTTTCCATTGTGGATTATATCGCGCGATGACTTGAGGTATCACGTAGCTGTATCTGAAAAAGCTAATCTATAGGCAATAATTGAATTATAATTCTAGTTACAGTAAGTAGTAAATGTCGAATATAATGACAGAAATATTTGCAATTGTGGGATGAAGCTCAAAATTTTGCATAAAAAGCTGAATGGAACATAACGTGTTGAAACAGGCCACCCATAAAACCAGAGTCGTAATCATCTGAAATTGCAAAATTTGAAAAAAATTCTGATTTCTGTATTACCCTGCAAATTCGTAAATTCTCCGCAGTTTGATATCGCTGCGCTAGAGAATAATCACCATGACAATTGAGAATATCATTATTGATTCTCTTGTTAACGCGAATCAAATGGTAGCTCAGCTGGAATTTCTTTTCAGTGTTCAGTCTCAGAATGAGTTTTCACCTACCAACATTGAAACTATGCTTGTGATTATCACTCCACTGAGATGAAAATAAGTATACTTGACGAAATGATACGTCGTGCCGCAAATAATCGTCAGAATTGTTAGAAATGCTAACAGGCATGCTGAGATTTCTGTGCGTTGTTTGTACTCATAATCATCGACATATATGGTTGCAAAACAGCGTTCTAATAGGAAAATGATCATGATAAAAAATACTGAAGAGAATTATATCAAAAACTATCAATTGTAAATGATGATTACCGGAAAACACACAAGACGATCTAATGATAGATATTATAATGAGATAGATACTCTGAGAAATATTGCTATCTGAAATTCGATAGTTTCCTCCGAAAACATTAATTGTTAATTACCATCAATTAAGCCAAATTGAAGAATTGTCCTATCGGCGAACCAAGCGCAGCATTGAATCAAATGTTGCAAATAGTAGAACATTTGAATGTACTTCCAATTTTTATGAAATTGCTTTATCCTCGAACATATTTTTAGATATGTTAATGTGTGAACGAAACTAGAAGACGTTAGTATACATAAGATGATTTCGACGGTGTCTCTTACTTTATTGCTATGATGATAAGCTCGAGACGAATTGCCCAACTGTATAAAGACCAGTCATGATTTACAACCTCCTCGTGAGTTTTATTGAATTATGCAAATAGACGCATCTGAATTAAATTTTTCTAGGTAAAGCTTAACTCAAGCGTTCATAAAGGAATTAATTAAATAAGGAAATAGTTGGTAATGAGATTAAATGTTGATGGTATAATCTCAAAAATAGAAAATTGTATTGGATTGAAATATTTATATTCATCTACGTAGGTTCTACTATATTGTTCTAGAAATTTTCATTTTTATGAATTATATATTTTTTAATGTTTTGGATGATAAATTTAAGTTCAGTTTTAACACTTTCATTAAAAAAAATACAACATCAAATCATATCAGTCGTCCCAACATGAAGTAATTTATGTGGGCGTATAGTAAATAAACATGTAGCCTAATATCCGGAAATTTGACTTCCTACAGTATGATTCGACCTCTAACTTTGGATCACATGAAAAATGGGATATTATGCGCGAAAATTCCAGATTTGCGTGGTTGAAACGTTTCGAAAATATTTGTATAATTTTGGACAACGTTGGCGACAAAAATAATTTGTAGCTTCTTAGATGACGTATCCGGAAAATTTGTAGTCGTGCTTGGGAAAATATGACGCCGCAATCTGAGCGAGAAGCCGAGTGCGGAGGATTGGGAATTAAAGGCTATACGCAGATTGAATTTTTTTTTACAAGAAAACCAATGGAAACAAATGCGATACGCATAGGATTGTTCTCTGCTCTTATTTCCAATCAGAAGCTGAAAGGAAATTCTAGCCCGTAAAATATGTGTGACGCAATTTAATGACACAGAATACATATAAATTGCCACTGACCATATTTTAAAATCAATCAATTATTCTGTAACGATTTATCTTTAAAAAGGAAGAGGAAGAATAATAAAATAAGATCAGATGTCATTTTGAATCCCTTGATATTCAAAAAAAAATGTTGAATCGTTTTTAAATAAAATTTTGAACACCAATTCAAAACTTCTCTTTTTTTCCATTGAAAAAAAAAAAAACAGATATGAATAAATGAAATAATTTTAATGATATGAGTAGACTGAGAAATCGAAAAATTATTCTCATGTCTGAGAAAAATACTCATTGAATTCGAGTAAAGTACGAGAAAAATGTGATAATTCATTTTCAGGTTTCCAGTTTTCCACTGCAATCATTGATCGCCGATTATGAAGATGCGATTCAAAATGTGAAAGATGTGGAAATCTCGCGTCAATTATCATTAGCCGTTGATGCATTGCGATTATCCGCAAGTATTCTTAGGTTAGTTGCTTTAATCTCTCAATTAATCACAAATAATCAATTTTTGGACCACAGTGTAGACTACAGTATGTTTGATTCGCAGGCTATCCGTTGTACGGTACTCTAATTCTCACTCGAAATATGAAAAATCTGCCGACGAAAATATGATGGTCCTTAAACACACATATTCCGAAATAAGATAATCCATTTTTATAAAAAAGAAATTAACAAAGAACGCAGAAAAAATTTAAAAAACGAAAAAATGAGAAAATTACAACGCAGAAAACCGAGAAAAAGAAAAAAATGGAGAAAATGATTAATTTTTTTGGTTATTCATTTTTTCTGCAATGCCCCCTAACAAAAATTGACAAATTCAAAATAAAGCTATATTGAATATATTTCATTTAACATTCATTATTTTGTATAATTTCACAATACTTAGAGTTCCTCCCTATTTTCGGGATTAATGTACGTAGAGTGCATTATTGGCATAGTGCCACCTACAAAGAAATGCTCATGGATAGATTGGCGAATTGTTCGGAATGGCGAACGAGAATTTTTTGTTCATAGAAAATTCGAGTAGGCTTTATGAAAAACAAGTCGGCTAGTTTCCGCTTTTTGATAACAAAATACATTTTCATTTCGAATAATTTTGTGCTGCCGTGAAGTTATCAAAAATATTCTCAAAAATGAAAAGAGCAGAGAGAGAGAGATGGAGAGAAATGGGACCACGTCGAATTTTCAGCAAGAATCCGTCGATGCTCGCCTTTGAACTACTTGGACGCCTATTGCCGTTGGTGGAAACCAATCCTTATGTCAGCAATTTACTAATCAAGTATTGGAATATAGAAAAAACACAAATTGGAAAGAAAATAGTGTTTTAGATGCGACAGCGAAGGTCCTCAACACAATGCGTTTGTACCAGCTCATCACTGTTTTCATGCTCCCGGAGGACCATTGAAATTCTCGCTTGAAGTAAATTTATTACCAGCTAGCACTAATATCCGCAGCAGCGTATAATCCGCATTTTTTCGAGAATCGGAATGAAGTTTCCGGAATAATATTCCAGTCGAAAAACGGAAAAAAGATGAATTGAAAAACAAGGCCATCGAGAATTCATTATTTGGATTACTTGAAATAGCAAGAAAACTAATTTAAAGTACTAATTATCCACCTATTCATACAAAGGAATTATGTATCACAAAAAATATAAAATGAAAATTTATGTTAAGCTTGCAGTTTGTATAACCCTGCAAAAGGTGTATTTTATCTTTATTGCATGAATAGGTCCATTAGACATTTCGGATTTCAATAATAATCTCTAATTATAAGTAGAAATGCCTCTTAAAACAATACATTCATTATTCTATGGTAGTTCATCGAGAGCAGTTTTCTTATGCCCAAGCAATTCGAGCGGAAGTGATTATTCGTTGTATTTGCACTATGGAATGCCGTGAGAAAACAAAACAAAAGTTGAGAAGCCTTGGAACCAATTGTTTCCAACGAAGGACTTTCGAGATGAATTTTCAGGAACACCAGTTTGCGGTGTTTGGAATGAAACTGACATCGGATCGAAAACTTCTGGTATCAACATCGAATCAGATAATTGTTTGGGATGTTGCAACAGGCGAGACTATAAATGGAGAATCAAGATTGTAAATTACTAGGAGATGTTTAGGAGACATTGCTCGCGTAGTAAATCCCAACATCGACGGGGTCTTTTTCGGTTTAGCACTTTCAAAAGACGACAAATTCGCTGCTTCATACACAAACAATAATCAGGTTGGATTGAAGAAGACAAAAAACAATAACACGAGGAAAAGAGCGGTTGTTAGAAATGAAATGGAGCAACAAATTTAGTTGGAAAGAAAATGAGAAATATATTCGAATATTCAGATTATAATCACATCACTTGTTACTGGCGAATTCATCAGCATCGAACCGGAAAGTTTAGTTACACAAATGGAGCTTCAGAATATCGCATTCATTGCGAATAATAATATTCTGGTGTGGTCAAAGTCAACCTATTTGATGTACACGGTCGACGGGCGGCTGATCTCGCAGGGCTCCGAGAGCGACGGAGAGAATAATGTGAGAAAAATGAGGCAACAACGAACAAAACGTGAATTCTTTCAGAATATTATACACATTTTTCATCGGGATAAATTCAACATTTTATATTTACTTTGGAATGGAGAAAGAGATGATTGGAACTTGGTTCTCACTGGAAATGTTAGAGGTAACTATGGTACACATTTTCGGCATGTCTATAGAGAAAGACGCACGAATTTGGGGTATCATTACTATATTATTTTAACTTCGGAAATAAAAAATAATAGAAAAAAAAAACATATTTTTAGAATGGATATATAAGAATATTGGCTATCTTAACAGTGGCATAGCATGAGCGCATTTTATTTTACGGGACCATATCAAAATGCAACTCAAAAATTATAAATTTGCCCGTCAACGACAATATAGAAAATATTTATAATAAATTTAAAAACCTTATCCCAAAATATCATCCCATTAATAATTATCAATTTTATAAGATTCTTTGTTGTCTCTTTCTAAACCCTTCTCCTTTTTAATTCTATGATATTTATTAGAGAAAAAAACGTTCTATGAATTCTTTGGGATTATCACATCGACAAAACGAATTCAAAGCTTATGAAAATTACAGATGATAAGACTAATTCAAAAGGTAAGCTGATCAATTTTCATTGCGAAGCGGATATCACATTCGTTGATGATTATTTTCGTCATGGTTATGCCTGTATAACACATAAAAGTATTATTACTTCTATTAATTTTCAATTAGGTTCTGAATTTGAGGTTCGTCGGATTTAGAAGGAGATCATAGTTTTGCGCTGGCTCGAATCGAGCTATCAGAATCAAAATATATAATTAGAGAGGTGTGCCATAGAATTGACCTTTTTCCTTATCAGTCGTTTGCAGATTATTCGGGAAAATTTATCAGATCGAATCAATCATATAGTAATATTTCATAGACAATCTTCAAGTGGTACGGATCGCAACACAAATTGGGTTGTCGGAATCTGTGTTGAAGTTTGCCTCTATTTGTCATGGAAATTATTTAAAAGCTTTCAGAACTTCATTTTATATCGAGAGAATTGTGGTTATGAGCCTATATTATTACACCTTCCATTCAATATTCGAAACATTCCGATTCGCCCGCGCCACACCACCTCAACGGTCTCATTCGCTTCACACGACACGGTTTTCGTGGCGGGAATCCGCAAACATTTGTATTTGTGGAATGTGAAAACCACCGAACTTCTACGATCAGTCGATGCACATTTTGGCAGAATTTTGAATCTCGAGTCGATCAGTCAGAAGGGTCAAAATATTCTAATTTCGTCGTCATTGGACCATTCAATTAAAATTTGGAACATGGAGAATATTTTCGAGAAATCGTTCTCGGTCTCAACAATGGATCAGCCGATTGAGAAGATTTCGGTGGCTCGAGACAACTCGACTTTAGCGGCTGTTCAGACAAGGAAAAACATTGGAATTTGGGATATTAGGTAGTGCATATGTATACTTAATTAAAATCGCAATTTGCCCACCCAATAGTCTGTTTCCGGTTTCCGACTTAACAGGTCTAGAGCATCGATCATAATAACACAAGGTTTAACATCGTGGCCGTGGCAAAAATAGACCAATTAAACAATAAATTGAATTCTGAACTTCAGAAGCCATCGATACATCGCTTCGCTTGTCGCTAACGTACATGGTGCCGTTGTTTCGGATTCTCTCATAGCCTCTGACGGAAGAACAATTGTTGCTGTCGAATCGGATCATTTGCTATTATGGGATCTCAGAACACAATCCGTGATCAATTCTGTACATGCTCCGAATGTTTTTCAAATATTTTATATGAATAGGGAGACTTTCATTGGTAGGACACAATTTTTATATTGTGATGAAATATTTCAATATTTCTAAGGGGCAATTTACAAGCAAGTCGACTCGGCTGAGCAAAAAATTGCCAGAATGACGATATACAATGTAGCTGACTTTAGTGTTCAATACACGTTTGAATATCCATGTCGATTTTTTAAAGAATGCGCCGTTCTCAAGGTTTCATTGTCAGAAAATTGGGAAAAAATTGAACCAGACCATATTCAGGACGAAGTCACCGGAGTGGTCGCCACGCTGCTAAAAGGACACGACAGCTTGCTTATATTTGATGCTGTTGAGAGAGTGCAAAAAATGAAATTCAGGCATTTAGCGATAGCTTTCAAATATCTAACATACAAAATTACAGACCACGACAAACGAAAAAACAAAAAGATGTGCTGATAAGCAAAATTATTGCAATGCCTCATAACAATAATCAGGTTTCGGACAATTTGTACGTACTTTTCGAAACCAAGAAGTTGTCAGGTGATTGTGATGGAAAGCGATAACAAAGCGTGCGTTTGGGATATTCGAAATCGAAAGTTCCTTCGTCACCTTCCTCAATTTAACGGAATAATATCGTCCGATGGAAAGACGGGATTGTTTGCACCAGCAAAGGGTGGATTATTTGTAAGTAAAATCATGGAAATCGAAAAAATTTCTTAATATTTCGCAGGTTATTGATATCAAAACGGGTCTCACTGCGAAAACACTAATCGGAAATGTAACCGAGGGGGTGAATGACGTCACCTGTTCATTTACACCAAATGGGCAGTATGTCGTTTATTTTCACAGCGGGCATAAGACCTTGAGGTTGCTAGATACCCCGCGATCATAATGGAATTTACGTTTAAGGGTTTTCCGCGTATTAGATAGCCAATTGATTGGAACCTTCCGGCCGCATGCCACAATTACTTGTTGGAATTATGATCCGAAGGGGAATTTGATCATCGTTGGTGCACAGGATGGATCATTATTATCGTTAGTGTTGCGTGATCCGCTTCTCAAGGAGGAAACTCTTATCAATATGGCGAAGCTTCCTTGTAGACGTCATCTGGCAGATTATCTTCATCTTCCTGTAACATTCCATACCGTTAATTAATATGAACGTGAATTTTTTAGATTCCCGAAGAATCCAGAATCGACATATTCGATCTTCATAACTTGGGTGCTGTCACGGCTGCTGTCACACGCTTCAAATCCTTGTTGGACAATAAGAAAAGCGGAGGTGGCGGAATGGCCAAGAAGAGTCATGTGTGTTTGGTTATGTAATCCTGATCGTGAAATACAAAATAATTTATTCTCGAATTTACAAATAAACGATTTTAAGATCTGCTACTTATTTACGTCCGACGTAGGCTCCTCCGGCTGGGGCTGGGGCGGCATAGCCTCCTCCGACGGCTGGGGCAGCGTACGAAGGAGCTGGTGGTGGTGGTGGTGGTGGTGGTGGAGCAGCAACGGCGTAGCCTCCTCCGGCGGCTGGAGCAGCACCACCGCATCCGCATGGTGGTGGTGGTGGTGGAGCGCTGAAATCAATAGATATATGTATTGCCTAAAATTGAACACGTCTTACCATCCGCATCCACCACCGCCTCCGGCAGATGGGAACAAGAAGGCCGAAGCAGCGGCGACGATCGAGGTGAAGATGATGAAGAAGGTTGTCTTGTTTTGCCGCTCGTTTCGCACACCTTTTATAGGATGTTTGTTATGCTGCCAAGGTGGGTGGGTGGGTCGACGCCTCGGCGCAGGTTTTTCTTGACGAAGCGGATATTTTAGCGAATGTTTTTCGGTTTAAGGTGTACAGGGTGTCATTTAAGTTCCCGCACAAAAGTTTGACGCCACGAAGAGCTTGGCTGTCGCACTTTTCGTGCACCAATACAATTTATTTTTGTTAAATAAGGTATATTTTACTTACTTTCCAAGTTTTACCTCATTCGGATGTGTTTCCGAGAAATGGCGAAGGCTAACATCCATTGCGCTTCCATTATCGAACTTCATAAGCAAAATGTGAGCCTGAGAGACATCATTCAACGCCTCGGTGTGCCTCTTAGAACGGTTTACGACATCATCTAACGTTTCAAGGAACTAAATACGACCAGTGACCGTCCCATATAAGGAAGACTCGTCTCGGTAACCACTCCTCAGAAGTTCAACGCCGTTAAATCGAAGATCAGGCGAAACCCACACAGGAGCATGAGAAAGATGGCGTCAGACGTGGGAATGAGCATTTTCGCTTTGGAACAAATCGTCAAAACGAAGCTTGTACTGACCCCATATCGTGTCCAAAAAGCGGCAATTCTATCGGCCGCCAACAAGTAGAGACGCTTCGAAAAAGCAAAACGACTTCTTGCTCGCACGCGGTCTGGAGAACACCTCGTCACTGTCTTCTCCGATGAGAAGCTGTTCACTGTGGAGGCGGCATTCAACTCACAAAACCATCGAGTACTTGCCCAGACATCCCAGCATGCTTCTGAGAAAGGAAGAACATATCATCCAGCCTCACATCCTGCCAGTGTGATGGTTTTCGGTGCCATCTGCTCAACCGGGAAGTGCCCCCTGGTTTTCGCGGATCAGGGGGTGAAAGTGAACAAAGAAGTCTACGTTCGGGACATTTTGGAGAAGCATGTGATACCCTGGGCCAAAACGCATTTCGGTGGGCAGAAATAGGTTTTTTAACAGGACGGAGCACCCGCACACACTGCCAAAACTACTCAGGAGTGGTGCCAGACCCATTTTCCCGACTTCATCAAGTCATCCGAATGGCCTGATCGCTCCCCAGACCCGAAACCGCTTGACTTTTCCGTGATGGGGTCTTGCAGGAGAAGGTCAACGCAAAACCCCACTCAAGTGTAGAGGCTCTGAAGAAGACATTACTGGTGGAATGGGACAATCTTTCCATCGAATACCTGCGTACCACAGTCACATCCTACCCGAAGCGTCTCCGTGAAGTCATAGCTGCGAAAGGAGACCGAATCAAAAAGAGTTAATAGATAATTATTTGTTATACTATAGATAAAAAATATTTCGAGTCTCGTTTGATTTGAACTTTTAGTTTCAGAAATATATGCCTTCAAAGTTGTGCGGGAACTTAAATAACACCCTGTAGTGCGGCATCGCGATAAAAACTGCAATCAAGGAGATGCTTAGGAAGTTCTTTAGGTGATCCTTGTTGTCAATTATTGATGGCATTAAGATGCCACTTTTCTGACTTAAAAGAAAAGTTCCAACTCAGACCACTCAGACAAATAATGTTAATTTAGTCAATATTTTAAAATATATTATATATGAATATGATAATTTTTCTAATTTAATTTTTCAAATAAAATGGGTTTCCACTGGAATACTACGCATTTTTCGGCAAGCATTGTGTTGTTTCAAGTTTTGATGTGTTCTCTAATGTCGCATTCAATCAAGATCCGTTTCAAAGCATTCCCACGTTGATTATAATCAACCTCATTGTATTCAAATCCCGTTTGTCTCAATAAACATCGCTGACATATCGTGCCAACCAAACATCAGAATACAATGCAACAGCGTACGGCAATTAGACAATTATTCCGAAATAATTTCTTATCAAGTCAAACAAAAATATCCAGTTCTATTATTTCTATCGTCGTCTTCGCCTACTATCTACGCAGCTTTTTTTTTTTCATTGCCGTTCGTCGTTTGATGTAACCTTTGCAATCACAGCTTATCGCTCTCATATCTTGGGTTAGGCGATTTTTTGATGAAGAGGCAAACAATCGTGTACAAAGTGAGAAAAGAAACGAGTTGTTGAAGCATCTGATTATTCGCGTATATATTCCTTTCCGATTCCTAGGCAAAATGGCAAAAAAATTGAGTGCTATACAAAATTAAGAGCAAAATTTTATTTTCAAATGTCATATTTAAGTGTCATCCTTTAATAGGGTCTTCTCGCGAACTTCCAATCGGCCAGTTGTTGGGCGAAGAATTTCAAACGAACACTGAAACAAACAATTTTGAATTCAATTTTTTTCGTGTCGTTTAAAATTTCAATAAACCTGCAATTTCTCGTCGACAATCATAAACGCCGCACAGTTGTCGAATTGTCCGCAATAATGAGGAGCCGAGAACAGTGTGACCAATTTGCGGCCGCCAAAAAATTCGTAGCCATCTTGTACCACTTGATGGGCACGGCATATCAAATCGATATTCATTTCGGTACACAATTTATGGACCACATCTTTTCCAAAGCCCACGCCAGCTCCTCTTTGATTTGGCTGAGAAAAAAGAAACCAAAATTTTATGGAAATGAATTAAAGATACCATAAATCCGGTGAGTCCGATGACCGGATCAGCCCATAGAAGGTCCAATTCAAGTGGTCCTTTTGCCGCTGTCGGTCGCTGAATATTTCTCAGATCATTCAATGTTTTGATCTCAGGAGAGAGGCCGCCATGCATGCAAAGAATTCTTTCAGCGACAAGTCCAGAAAGTGGAAGCCAATTGAAGAAATCCTGAAATAAATTGAATTCTGATTAGATAAATGCCCTTGCGTGTCGATAAACGCAAGAAGAACCTCACTTGGAAAGCTTCGTAGAGTCTCGTACTAGAATATCGTTTCTGACATTCTTCATAGAATCCATATGCTTTATTGACAAACTCGCATTCATGATTGCCACGGAGCAAGAAGAAATTCTTTGGAAATCGGACCTGTGAAAAACGGCGCTTTTTTTTCGAGATCCCAATCCTATGATTACTTTATAAGCTGTCAAGAGTATGATTGTTTCGAGATTGAATCGCCCGCGGTCAACGTAATCACCGAGAAATAAGTAGTTAGCAGTAGGAGGCCATCCACCGCGATGAAACAATCGAATGAGATCTGGATATTGACCGTGAATATCTCCGCAGATTCTGATTGGAGTTTCGACTTCAACCATCGATCCTTGAACTTTCAATATCTCCTTTCCACAATCTTGAAGTGTATTATTATTCATTGTTTTTTTTTTCAATCTAATGTTTCACCTAATAACTTAATAATTCGATCCTCAGTTATTGCTTTCGAAATCGGCTTTTCGTGTGTTCCGATGTTCAATACATCAATGATAATACTGTTTACTTCTTGATTGTTCATCTTGGTATAATCCTACAATTCAGACTCGCAAGAATATAATTTTTTGGCAAAAGTGAAACCTCAAAACAGTTGAGCTCCAATAAACATTTAGTAATAAAAAGATGACGAAAATTTCACGCAAATTTATTCGCAAAGAAAAAAACAATTAAAACAAACCAATATTTTTAGAAATTTATTTAATTTTTTGTATTTCCGGAGCGCGTTGCCTCAATAATTTAAGTGTGTCACACACTGGTGTCAAATCGCGTTTCTCCAATAACACGGCGGTTGGGAAGAGCTCATCATCACTGCAATAAAATGAAGCATTACTATTGAAATTGGGTTCGGCTTCATACTGGAATCCACAATTCCGGAGGCTATCAATAAAATTGGCAATATTGTCAGTTGCTGAGAACAACGGTGGTTTTTGGTTAATTGGGCGAAGTAGAATATTGGGGTTGATTCGAAGAAGAAGTCTGCAAGATTGATTTTTTTTTTCAATTAAACTATATTTGAGAGAGAAGTCCGCAAATATTCCCGTTTTCGCGGCAATTCAAACGCCATTTTCATTTCTTGGAATTTTTTGAGTTTGGGTGATCAAAAAAACTAGTTTTTCTTGATGTATGAAAAGCAAATGTTTTAATTGTACTGTAGGGATTTTGAAAAAAAAACTCAAAAAACCTAATGCTGATACCGGCAAATCCTAATTCAAACATGCTTTGAGTTTTTTTTTTTCCAAATTTCAATATTGCCATAAGTTTATTTTAATCGGCAGTGAAAACAACTGTGTAAAAAAGATTATGAAATTTCAGGCAATTCTTACTTGCACAATATTTTTCCATCGCTTAAAGCTTCTACTGCATTCGTCGATGTGAGCTTTTCTACAGTAACATAATTTATCCACTCGATTAGCTCTTTTTCAATTTGTTCATCACGACGACCTTGAATCTGCAAAACTACGATTATCACCAGAATTCGAAACAGTCATACCCAACCCATTCGGAAACCTCGATCCCTCTTCGATCCGTAGGTGAAAGCTGATCCTTCTCCATTTGACGTTAGTTCGGGATATTGCGATTTACCGGTGAATTTTTTCCAGCCAACTGCCATCTGAATTTGATAGATTTTCTGAAAATGAACAGCGAACGACGGTTAGAAATTGCACAAAACACATGTACAACGGATTATTTGGCGATTTAAATGCATTGAAACGACGACAACGACGACTACGACGGAGGGGGCAGGGAAGGATGGACGAAACACACAGAACTTGAGCCGTCTCTTCTTCGAAATGTCAATACTGCGTGGCAAAAGTCAACAAAACTACGAGCAATTGAAGCGGACTTTTGTTTTTTTTTTATTAACTCAAGGTTCTTTATGATAGGTAACGCGTGCAAATTCGAAGTTAATATGGAGATTCTCGCAAATCTTGCAACTTCTCACCGCAGATGGCTCAGATTCATAAAGAAACTGAATAGACACTGAACCATCTGGAACAAATCAATGGAAAAGTTAAGAGCGTACATACATTTCTCCGAAATTCATCGTCTTCGAATTATGATCGCATGTGCCCATTTCTTCAATTTTTACACGACAGTAAACTATTGCCTACGCTAACACCCTTTCAGAATAATCAAGCTTCATTTGGCCTTTTCCGGCTCAAAAATCATACAAGAATGTTTCATTTTGAATTGTGTTGCAATGAACTTCAGAAAATTGCAAATCAAAAATGTTTGTGTGTAAACAAATCGAATCAAGCGTTCCAAGTCATTTAATTAATCCAATCGCGACCATGCAAGACTATACACTAGATAAGATCTTGACGTAATACGTAAGAGAAAGTTGCCGCGTATATCAAGTGCTACCTGTTTTCATCGAAGCATAACGTCACCGATGAACACGATGAATCGTAAAGTTTCAATGACCACCTTGTAGTAATCAAAATTCCGAACAAATCTTTAATTATTATTATATTCTACAAAGAAATGTGTTATATTTTGGAGAATTGCAGATCATTCAAATTTTTCAAAGTATTCGCAATTTGGTAGACGCGGTCATTTGGCTCTGAAACAACAAAAACTTTAATCTATCCCATTTTAAAGACTTGATTACCTAATGAATTCCAAAGGCTCATTGTATTGGCAACCTTGGTTATACCAACACTTCTTCCATACTTCATCGGACCGCCATGCACCGCCGGCCATCCGAATCCGAGAACACTGAAACAAATGACGATTCCCACTTGAAAATGATTCATATTTGCTCAGCGGATATTCGCGGGCGGAGAACGGATATTTTCAAGTGGATTTCACAAATTTGCAAAACGCTTGGTATTGTTTTGAGAAAAGATTATCTATCGACTTACAACATAATGTCAATAAGGCTCTCGTGATGAATCATTCCTTCTTCGATGCATAGAAAGCCCTCATTGATCATGGGGAAGAACAAAAACTCAAGAACATCCTGCAATTTCAATATGCATTTATACATGTTTTAAAAAAATGCTAAATTTCACTCTGGAATTTTTTTTTCAAATTTTTTTCCAATCAATTTTCGAGAAAAAAATATTAATTTTAAAAAAATTGTAGATGCACGCAACCTCTTTTTCCTTTTATTGCAGTCTTGCAATATTAAAGAAATTCGTTTTCAGAAGGGATTGATAGGTGATAAATGAAAATGTGCGAAATTGCGTTGGTGTGTGCACAGACAAAAACTGGATAAAACGGAACCCATCCGTTTGAAGCTTCGACAATTTTTTGAGAATTGAAATTTTACGAAGAGGGAATGCATATTAAACATCTGTAGACATCAGAAATCCAATTCCCTTTATCCCTTGCCTATACTCTCCTATTTCCTTACACCAAATTTTCGAAATCTCGAAAATGCATACCTTATCGCATATTAATTGAATATTGTATTTTGAATCAGCCGACAATTTTCGAATAATCTCTTCAACTTCCATATCGTTATCCTTCTTATGAGTTTGCTCATCATACTTATAATATCCCTTGTCTGAAACTCAATTTCAAAAAATTGCGGTACTTTGTTAAACTCACTAGACTTCCTTCCATATCGTTTCCTTTTCAATAATTCAACCTCAATAGGTGTGAATTCATAATTGTGCTCCTTCTTGAGCTTTTCCATCACATCCAATCCATTCATATCGCACATAGTTAGCGGACCCATTAACAATCCAAACGAAGTCACAATTCGGTCAACGTCTTTCGGAAGCATTCCGTACTGGTACAACAGTTTCTGTGTTTGAGCAATATAGACGCTGAGCAATCGATTGAACACAAATGCTGGACAATTTCCGACAAGCACCGGAAGCTTCTTCATCGCTTTGCAAGCTTCGAAGGCGGTGGCCACTGCGTTTGGAGACGTGTTCGAACCATAAACAATCTCGACCATTTTGATAATATTGGCTGGATTGAAGAAGTGAATTCCGACAAGTTTTGAAGGAATCTGAAGAGAGGAGCTCATCTAAAAATCAAATTGAAATAGATTTCTTTAAAAGAAACTTTCGAAACCTTATCAATGTCCAAACTGGAAGTATTGGTGCCAAAAATGCACGATTGTTTGCAAATTTTGTCAAGTTTTGAAAACAAGTCCAATTTCAATTTCATATCTTCAAAAACCGCTTCAATCACCTAAAAGTTCAACGGTGAAATGTAGTTACAGAATTCGCACATACCAAATCTGAATTTTTGCAGTCCTCAAGCTTTGTCGTCAATTTGATCGCATGCCTCAATTTTTCAATTTTCGCCTCATTCAATCGCTTATATTGTTTCTCCCGTTCATATGTGATTTCCAGCTCATTTCTACACCATTCCAACGCGTTCTCATTATTTTCAACAAGAACTGTTTGATAACCAGCCAAGCATAATGAAATAGCAATTCCTCGACCCATTGTTCCTGTGAGAAAATTCAGAAATATTTTTGTTTGATGGCTCTTATAATGCTACCTCCGCCAATCACAGCAGCATTCTTTATTTCGCTAGCTTCGGCATTTTCGAAACTTCCTCGACCATTTGGAAGTTTCCACTAAAATCGCCTTATTTCGTTTTGTAAACCAGAAAATAACGTCGTGTTTTTTTTTTAATTGACGCCGATAAAAATAAAACCGATTCTTGACCTACCTGCTGTGCTAATTGATAAGCTTCCATCAAATAATTTTTAATCTCCTCGGGAACATTCGGAATATTCGACATTTTATGAAATGGCAAAAGAAAAACTAGCACTATGTAGTAGAAATGGAAGATTTATGCAATGATTTTAAAGTAAAAAATACAACGAGACGAAAAGATGAACACAACAGATGATAAGGCTACAATCTAGTGTAGCCTAGAATTAGTTTTGTGATTGTAATCGGACCATTCTGTATCGACGCCAGCTGTCGAAATCATTTTTGATCGTTCGGATGATCCCCTGAAAATTCAAATTAATTCCGGAAACCATTGGAATTCAAAATTACGGGATAGAGTTCGATTGAAGCATTTAAACCAAAAACAAAGTCCATGTGAGAATAATGGCGCATTTCCAACGATCCAGCAATTGTTGAGTTCATTTGTTTGTAAATTGTCTCTCTAAAAATGAATTCGAATTAATGTGTAATCTAGAATTTTTCTCAATTACCTAATATCATCTGTATCAGCCAAAATATCGTCTTTGCTCCAATACAGATACGTTGGGGTGTTTATATTTGAAAGATTATAAATTGGTGGGATATCCTAAAATATTTGTCAAAGTTATGCCAATATTATTGTCGATCCTACTTGTCCATACTCGGCGCGATTTCCTTCTAATCCATAATCAAACTTTTGAACTTTTTGAGCTTCAACAAGCTGAAATATCATTTTATGACTATAGTTGAATACAATTCACCTGAATCCAATGCTGTAAATCTTTGACAGACGTCGCTGCTGGAGTGTGACACAAATAAACTCCAGTTCGAGACTGAATATTGTTAAATAAAACATTTTGGAAAAATGAATACCTCATTGAACATTTTCTCATTGCCATCGATAAATCCAATATCTAGCGTGCAAATATTTTGAATAAACGATTTGCTGAAATTCGATCACTATAATCTGTTCGATATTCGAAAATTCAAGAAACCTGCAAAAATATCCTATGAGTTTCTGTATGGTTTTCGGTATTGTTAGCGGTGAATATGGAAGTCGGTCAAGCAAAACTTGCACAATACTCAAGAATCTACGACCAAGAAGTCGAAACAGACCGCCAATATGCGAAACTGTGGCCACTGGCGCCAACGCGTGGAATTGACGAATCTGCAATTCGAAAAACCAATGCTAAAATGTTCAATGGAAAATCGTTTTTTACCTTTTTGGAGAATTCTCGATTCTCAGCCAATCTCGCGAACATTATCATGGTTCCTTGTGAATGCCCCAAATAATATATGAAATCCTGCAAAAAAAAAACAGCCGTGAAATTTGAAGCAAAAAAAATGAGAAGGGCGGAGTCGTCTACACACAAAACATAAAGTGTGGCGAAACCCGCAAAACGTCGGCAGGCACAATGAAGGGCGAAACGGCGCGACGCGCGCTGGGCATTCCGCTATGATGAAATTAGATCCAACTCCCAGTGAAAATGTGCAGATAAATTGGCGTCTGAGCGGAACAATTTTTGCATTCATTTTGGAATTATGTGAATTTTAATTAATTGTCGAAATCGCAGAATATTTGCTAAATTCCAAAAAAATAAAGACTTGTGTAGATTTACGGGCCCAAGCATTGGGATAGGTTAAAGGCGCACACCACGCACCGAGACCTCTTTTTGAATTTCTTGGAATTTAGCTAATTTTCCGCAGTTGTGCGATGCCAACAATATGTATTCTTGCAAACAAAAAAAAAATAAGAAAACATTTCGCTCATGATTGCCATGTGCCATCTTTTTTTTAATATTTTTTTTATTAGCATGAATGGATTCAACACCTGTGAAGTGTTCCTCAGAATGTAATCAACGGTCGCGGTCAGGTCGAACTCCGACATCTGCTGCCATGTAAAATTCCAAAATCGATTATCTTCTGGTCCGAATCCAATGTGTTTTTGCGATTGCGGAGTTCCTCGACTGTTGGCAATCCAGACATCGAATCCGGCGTCAGCGAACACAAATCCGGGAGATTGTGAGGGCATATTTGGAATCCAGCAGAAACTATCGGAGAGCAAGCCGTGCTGCATTAGAACAACCGGTCGTTTTGACGGCACCTCGCAGTCTTCTGCAACAAAAATCATTTTTTAAAAGTTAAAGAAACCGTTTGATTTGATCAAAAACCATTTTGTTTGCACGGGAATCGATTGACCTCAATTATATAATCATCGAGAGTTTGAATGATATGAACATGAGACTTATATCCGAAATGTCGCCCGATATCAGCCTGAAAATATATTTTAAAGTCTATTTGTCAAAATGCGGTCCAGCCTCAAAAAATTTTCGTGTCCAAACTATAAAACAGTGTTTGCAATATTTTTTTAATGAAATTTCTAAAAAAATTGTTTTCAGACTTCTAAAAAAGATTTTCATTCATTACTTCATTTCGATTGATTGAAGAAATATAAAAGAATGTGTGAAGGTCCGATAGAGACGTCAAAATTTTTTTGAAATTCGCTCCAAATGTTTAACAACAAAATCGAAATTTTATTTCTCAAAATTTAGAAATCTGGCCTTGCCGAAATCGAATTAATGCAATTCAATGAAAACTCTTCAATTTTGTCGAAAAATAAATGAAATAAAAATTTACCGTTGTCATATGACATTCAGGATCGATAAATTCTCCAAATCGAAACAAAACGCATAGAAAAAACGCGATGTGATGAGCCATCGAAAACGAAAATAATGAATGGCGAGACGAACACCTGCTGTCGTCGTCGCAATCGAAACACATGTGCGGGACATTTCCCAGAGGCGCGGACCAAAATACTCCCGTCCGGAAAATCTTTTCAAACAAAAGGTTACTGTCGATGTTTAGAGGACCACGTCAGATAGGCAGAAAAGATGGGCTTCGATCATTTTTCGAATATCTTCCTTCTTGACGATTTTTGTTGGTTAACAACGTGTTTTGTTTTTCTTATTTATTACAAAATATTAACCAAAAACTTCTCAAAGCTGCAAAAAATTAAACATAAGCAAATTTCGTGAATTGTTTTTTACTGAATTTTCAATCGGAAGTTTTTTGGCAGATAAACACCCCACACGGTGCATTATGAGACAAAATTGCATTTATGGTCCCCACAGTGCAGAACAAGTAGCCCCCTATCGATATACGCCGCCAGAATAAAGTTAAAGTCCTTGGGGGCCATCGCTGCAAATGTGGGGGACCCTTCCCCCACTGTGGGGATCTGAGGGACCTCATCTGCATGATCGCCGTTTTTTTAGCAAATGATTCCTGATGGGTCCTTCTAATAAAAATATCAACCACACAGGCAACTCGTCAACTCATTCATTATTATTCCGACTTTTTCTCATTTATCTTGGTTTGTTGCGACGACGGCTCGATGAAAGTGTCGATGAATGTCACCAATGGATCGACAACCTTCACGTACATCACTTTCGCACCTTGAGTTTGCGGCAAGTACAAGTACATCAGGAACGCCGCCTGAAAATCAATATTTCAAACCGAAAATTGACGGCAGAAAACAAAAAGTCGGTTACCTTAACGACCCAGTAAAATGGGAAAACGCTCATAATGCCGATCGCGAAAAAGTCGACGAGGGCAAAGGTGGCGAAAACCGCCCAATATGTGAGCCATTGAGTGTCATCAGCAGTATCAGTTGTTCGAATTGCCTTCAATTAATGAAATTTCAACAAAAAAATTGGAAATAATTGGAAAACCTTGACCGAAACGTAAGCGGGATAGGCGAATCCGATGAGATTGCAAACGAATTCCGCCCAGCTTCCCAGAATCAAGTAGATGCAATTAAGGCCAATTAACACGTAGATAATTTGTTCGCGCTTAAGGCCCGTCCCCTAAAATGATATGGTTTTGGCTGATATCTCTCGTTTTATGCGAAAAATTTGCCTCTTCAATATTCTTCATATTTTTGTTGTATGTTTCTCCATGATCAGCAAACAGATAAGCGATCATATCCGTCTGAAATTTCTCGAATGCGTTTCAAGTTTCCGGTTGCTTTTATTCTTACATGGAACTTCTTGAAACCATCAAAAGGTTCAGGAAGGGCTTCTTGTTTGAGTTCGCTTCGTTTCGACATTTTCTTAATTGGACAAGTCGAATCCACGAATAAACAACTGAGTGTCACTCACTAGATTAATAATATTGAGCAAATTTGGTTATTAATCGAATCAAATGTCACGTCAATTATCAAGTTTATTAGCAATTGTGAGTTCTCAACGAATTGAGCGTGTCAAAAGTGTCGGAAGCATTCATCAATAAATTAATATACACATTGAATAAATATCGATTGATAAAAAATAACTGGGTGGAGAAATAAACCGTATTTGGGAGACCCGGTCGGGGAAGAGAAATAAAATTAAAATCGCCGAACGCCGACAGAAAATATAAACAAAACTGTATGGGAATGTAAAATTGCCAACATGGACATTAAACTTCGAAAAATCGATAGGCAAATGTGATGCATCGTTTTCAAAGTTGGTGCTCTTGAAAACTCGTCTGATTCTCTGACATTGAAGCATCGAAACTGTCATCTTTGCCATTGTCGGGCTCCGTCGCAAGGGGTGTATAGCTCTGCTTCCTAGAAGAACGAACTTAAAATAATGCATTTAAAAAAATAGTTGTTCTGTGTTTTACAGTGTTCATTAGTCTAATGGATTCAACTAAAAATAATGCAAAATAGTCATTTTAAGACAAATTTTGGTTTGGCTGAAATTTTGCAAATTTTGCAAACTCTGAGTAGATCCATAATGTTCCTTAATCCTCTACGTTTTAATTGAAATTAATAATGATAAAACTAATGTTTCCTTTAATACACGTATTCGCGAACACTTTGCATGATGATATTGTAGATAATCCCCCACCCCTTTATTGGATTCATTTTAGATAAAAGATCATTTAGTTGACATTGCTCATTAGCAGTTTCCAAAAATCGTATAAAAATCACAAAAGGAATCGTTGTAACATGAAACCATAAAAAACAAACGAAATTTTAAAAATGTTTCGTAGCAGTATATTTAAAGGTATTCCAACGCGTGCGCCTTTAATCCTTTACATTAATTTGTGTTCGAAAAATTGCCCCGTGTTTGCGGAAAATTTTCAAAAATATTTCGGGCTTCCTCTCTGGTTAAAATTACGCTACGAGGTTCAAAGATATAAATATATGTGTATGTATAACCTTGCGGCTCTTAGACTCGTATTCTGTGCTCTTGACATATTTACTTGAGTTGTTGCTCGATGTCGAGTCCACAATCTGAAGTTATTAGATTTATAAAACCGCTTTCAATAAATCAAACTAACTCAAACGCTCGTGTTGGTATGATTACTTCCCAAAACGTTTGCCGATATCTTGAAGACATTACACAATAAAGTACAAAATTTACACATGAGTTGAGAAGTGACAAAAGATCGAGAATATCACCGAGATAAAAATAGAGATATCTGAAGGCAAAATTAGACAATTCGAAAAAATCAAATGAGAGAATTTTACCTGTGAACATCAGTTGTGAAGATCGCGCAAAGAATCGAAATGATTCCTTGAGGCAGTTCGGTGATCAGAAAGACAATTAATATTGCAACCAGCATCATTGTAGTCCGATCAGAGGCGGAATGACTCTTCCTGAAATAAAAACATGATTCGAATATGGAAAAATGATTCGAATGCACTTTTTCAGAGGTTTCGAGTCGGTGGAATTGTTCGATGCAACGCTTGTCAATTTCCGGCGACGTCGTTCAGCGTCTCTGATTTTTGATACGAGACCGATTGAAAGGAAAACAAGAAGGATGCAAGGAATCACCTGAAAAATCAAACTTTGTATAAAATTTATTCTCGCTTTCACCTTGAATAGAATTCCAATCATCCAAATGTTCCATTTGAACAACCTACAATTGTTGATTGTCGCTGTTCGACTAACCATAAATGTATATATCGGCTCAGTATGATTTTCTTTGAATCCATCACACTTTTTAGTTGGCTCCCATCGAGCTCCTATAATAGTAAAACTATAACATCACAAGTAATGAACAATGATAAAACCTTCGACTCGCGCGATTTCGTGCACAAGCATATTTGGAATGCATAAGATAAAAACTAGACCATAGACAATCAAACAAAGCTTCCAAGCGAATTTCGGTCGTTGCCATTGACTAAAAAATAATGAATATTAATTTCGATAGAAAATCATGCTAATTGACCTGTTGAGTGCCGTAACCCTCAATGTCATCCTTCTTATAAAAGCCATAGCCACAGCGAGCCATAGTGATGTTGTATGTAGTGTGATGCTAAGCACGACGTGCCAAAGAAGGAACTGAAGCCACGCGTGTGTGAAAGTTGGAGAACTGAAATGGGCTTCTAATATGAATATGCACGAGGTCTTATTATACAAACCATGGGTTGCCCCGTCTCAACACAAAATGAACTATGTAGATCAAATAGGAAGCCATTGTGCCGATATCGCATATTGCCACCGCTGTCAGAACGCAATTGACTGCTGAGTTTCGCATGTTCGGTCTTGAGAGAACAGCAACATGAACGAGATTCGTGAGAATTCCGAACATGCATATGGCGACGCAAACGTATCCATGGATTGGCTGATACCATCTTGAAAACATTGCCTAATTAATTTTGTAAACTAAAAATTACAATCGGACCACAATTTTCCAGTATTTAAGAAATATAGATCGCTGGCTTTTTGCCAATTTGCCGCAGTCGCGCGAGTTTACCTGCCGTATTTAAGAAAAGGTTAAAAAATGTTGAAAAATTGTATTTCATTTGTGATTTTTAAGCATTTTTTCATGATTAGATCCGTGATATAATGCTGAAAAACAGATTCAACAAAATTTTTTGAAAAATGAAAAATGTTCACGCGTTTTTTTTTGCCGTCGATAAATAGAATTGAGTTTCTTGATTAGCATGTGATTCTTTGTTAATTGTTTCTTCATTAAAAGCGGATTAGCTTTAATACCTCTGAAACTCCTCAAGACTGGCGAGCAGCAATTTTGTGTTATTATTGGTGGTGTCAAACAACTTTGCGTCATGAGGGCATTCCATCACTGTAACATCACTCCCACCTGAATCACTTTGATTTTTGATCGTCGAAAAAATGAGAAAAAGTTATGCAACAAAATACGATGGAAAAAAAACAAGAATTTCCGAATTTCAAACTTTTTGTCTCAAAATATTGCATACTGCCAGTGTTATTTTATTTTTTTGAAAAAAAAAACACAACTTCCGATAACAGATCCCTCGTGAAAATAACACAAAGCTCGGAAGAAGGAAGCAAAATTTGTCGACCAATTAAATATATTTATAGACAAAATTTTATTAAGAAATTTTCGCAGATCGAGTTCAATTAAAAGTATTCGATACGAGACAGTTGTTCACAGCTCAACATCAAAATCAAATGAGAGGGGGGGGGGTTGAATAAAAGATATTCGTAGGGAAGAAGAGCATCAAAGACGAAATATGTTCGGGGTTGAGGTGAAAAATTTTCGGATCATCAGAGAATTGAAGATCGCGAATTTATTGGATTTATTCAATTAAGTCGATTTGTTAAAGAACCGCATTTTTTTTTGGAATATTCCAATCGATCGGAACTCAAAATTGAAACATCTAATCTGGGCCACACATTATGCGAGAGCCAATAAAATGAGACGTATTGTGTGTACTTCAATTCTTCTTTTCGTGTTTATCAAATGGGTGGGACCACATGTGTCCCATTGAGATATTATACGTTTATCAAGAGAGAATTTCGTGATCGTCTAGCGATTGAGAAGACAAAGAAAAATGCAACACAATGCGAAATGAGTTAATGTGATATCTGAAAATGCGATCTCATAATGATCTTTGCTTAATCATTTTTATTTTCTAATCCACATCGGATTTGCTTCATTCATTGGAGGATTGTTGCGTAATTCAATCATGAATAACTGGACTAGATGATCTTGAAAAGTACCACAACCTAGAGAATATTCTTCACCGGTTTTTCGTGATCCAATGATTCGGAAAAATTTGCATAATTCAGCGATGTGGAACATCAGTTTTTAGCTTAGTCATTTCTAAAATCTAAATGAAACAAAGCCGTAGTTTCGATTTTGCAGGCGCCCTTGGATGAAAAAAAAATCGAGTCGAACATTTTTGTGCCTGCGAGAATGAAATTTTGCAGAATTGATGCAAAACGTGTTAAGTTCCGAAAAAAAATCGAAACTTGAAATAAATAGTTTAATAACGCACATAGTTAATATTCATGTCACGTCACGAAGGATTCTGTAATGGAGGTGATTTGAATTTGAATCTTTGGGTTAAATGAGAGCACGACAGAAAAGGAGCTAGATGAAAGCAGCACCGGACCACTGCGCGACGTGCTCTAACAAACATAAACATATTGTCTCATGGGACCAAATGAGGCGCTGAATGTATTCGCAAAAATGGGCCCAAGTCGTCGCAAAGTGGCCGCTAATTTGGGAACATAACACTTTCTGCGTATATCTCTGGTTTCAAGGTACTAAATTTGATTAGACCGTGGGTTTTCCCCCCACAACGAATTCATTGCGACTGTTCGATGTGCAGATTCTGGTTTGATGATAAGGAACAAAAATTTTGTGTTTGAAATTTGAGACGTACAACGTTTCTATCAATTTTCAAAAAAAAAAAAAAGAACAAACACTTTTATTATAGCTTTTTCTTCTGCATTATGTCAAAAGTTTTGAAAGTTGAGAAACTGGTCCCATGGGGAAAATTCGAAATGCGTGGATCCTTTCATGATGAATCTGTTGCAGAGATATAAAAAAAACGTGACTGGAAAATTATTTTGGCCGCACTCGCTTGGGTTTTGAAAATATGTAGTAGCTAAGCTGTAATTACAAAAATGTGTAATCAAAATGAAAACGAATGTGCTCATCCTCAGATATTTTTCTTACCACCGACATATGAGTTCTAGAATCAAACCAGTTTTCATATTTTCTATTTTCTTATGTAAAATAAGAGCTACGGATTGCCAGGATAAATAATGTATTATCCCTCATAATAATGTTGAAAATATTTTTGGAAAATTATGATCAACGAACAGATTTTTTTCATAAACCTGCGCAGATTTATAAAAATTGTTTTCGATTTTTCAATATTCAATTCTAAAATAAAAGGAATGCGTCAGAGGAAGATTAGGCACAAGTTAGAATCGCTTCAAGACATTTGGGTTTCGAATATTCGGCTGCATGAGAAAAAGTTGACGTGCAAGTGTGAATGAAATAAGAAAATGCTGAAAATACCCTTGCGAACACAAAATCGCGCATTGTTTAATTCAATGGTGTTCTGTGAGTTGAAAGAACACATAATTAGTTGTATTCAATGGAAGAAAAAAAATTGCAAGGAAACAACTTGAATGATTTTTGATATGGAATGAAGAATTCTCGCATAATTATGAGTACCTATTTGTCACGAGCGAGTAATGTTGCCAAAGCGGAAGGGGAGTGTCAGATACTTCATTAGCAATGACGTGTCGATTAATTCGACAACGACATCCGTTCATTGTCTTTTCGAGCAATGAGCCGTCCGCTCCGTCCGTTTCTGGACTCAATTTGATTTGTTTTTTTTTTTCCTTCTTTATGTTTCTTCTTCTTTTTTCTCCCTTCAAATCGAGGCGAATATGGAAATCAGAAGAAAGAAAGAAAAAAGGTTGAATTGAGTATGTATAATGTGATGACAAATTGGAGGAGACGGCGACGCCTGAAAAAAAAACAACAATAATGATGTGCGTAGAACCGACCGATGGACGAGAATGTGGCTGGAAAAAAATGGAGAAGGGCTCCAAAAAAATTGTATTATGAAAACAAAGATGGGAAACGAATTTTTTTTTCTCTCCAACACAGAAGACAAGGAGATGCAAAAACAAATAGATCTTCAGCGCATTTATAATATTGCCGTCGACGGATGAATTTGAGGTGCGATTACTTTTTGAATTTCCGTCTTGTACGGAAAAATGGCGTTTTCTAGCTGTCAGAATGTGAAACTGCATAATTTTTTGAGAATTTTTGGTATTTCTCTTGTAACAGTCAAGCCGCTCCTTTGAATTAAATGGATTCTAAATTTTTCAAATTCGTCGGCCCACAACAAAAAATGATATAATTTAAGATGAAGCTTGTGAACTTCAAAATTTGATAATTTGAGAATAGTTAAAATGCAAAGAAGCGCACAATAGGTTTTCTATCAATTTGTGGTAATATTTATTTAAACAGACAAATGTTAACAAAACCTGGAATGTTCAGTCATGGAGATTTAATTATTCCTACGTTTGATATATATAATTCCCATGAATGTCGAGATTTAAAAATTTTGAAAACTGAAATCAGGCAACATTTTTTTTAAATAAATTCGTTATAGATTTATTCAGTGATCTCCCCATTATGTTTCGTGCAAAATTGTGAATTTTGTCATTTTCATCTAAAAAATTTTATTTCCATTACATATTCGCTGAATAGGTCGATTAGTTTCTTTTTTTTTTAACATTTTTTGCATCTCCAAAAGTAGCAAAATAGTCGAAATAATTGCCAAACCCGCATTATTCATCAGCAAACCAACGAATCTTGTTTAAAACAAGAAGACAAATCTATCAAATGTGTGAAATGAAATCGAAAAGGTTTTTCAAGAGCTGATTTGATTTTCTTCAACAAAATTGAGTTTGAAGTGAATGTATTTGAACAGGAAAGCAACTGCAGAAAAGAGAAAAAAAACGTACTTCAGACTATATATGAACAAACAAAACCTTGAGGGAATATTTTTTGACATCTTTTTTTTTGATGGTCTACCAACAAGTTGGACATTTTATTTTATTACCTCGTAGATTTTAACGACCCTTCATTCTTTTTTTTTTCCGATTTGCTCGATCGCTCTCTTATGTTTTTTTTTGTTATTCAATTCACTATTTTTTGGTTAGCTTCATTCAAATTTCCCCTCACAAATTGAACATGAAAAGAGAAGGTAATTGAGATAGAATGGAACTTCGAAACTTGATTATCAACAACAAAAAAGTTCGACGGATCAATCTGACAGACTCAATTGAATGTTTGAGTAGGATTCCGAGTAAACGGAAAGATCCACTTGAACGTAGATCAGAGATGAACAGTGACGAAAAAAATAAGAATTATAAAAACGAAGATGAATAGCAAGACGCTAAATGATGAATAGGATCATTTATTTAGAATCGAAAAGAATATTTAATCAAATAATGGTTTCAATATATGTGAATATTCTCAGAAATTTTCTTTTCTTCGATTGATTCCCGTGCATGTCTCTATCGTCTCATAGTTTTGCATTAAAACATTAATTTCGATAATTTTTAATTGCAATATCGTTTTAAATTAAAGAAAATGAAAAGTACGAAAAAAACATAAAAGAGTAATATTACATCCGTAGCCGATATACGGTGAGTTTGATTTGCAGGTTGTTTGGAGTACGGTAACCAAATTTCCACTGTTTTAATTATAAATTGAATTACCCGCCTCTAAAAAATTGCGATGGTCCACAATTACGCGAGGCGAATTACAGGGGTGACCTCAAGGCACATGTTCGAAAATCTACCCGGGTGCCGGACGTGTAGATTTTGAAAAAAAGGGTCCGACTAGGGCGTGGCTCAAAATTCGAATATCGCGGGGCCTGCGAGAGCGTCATCTGCATACAATTGAATAAATTTATAGCGTTCAAGAGCTTAACGATTGTTGAACTAATCACAGCTATCCAAATTATAAGACGATGTTCTTTTAAAGAAAGAAGATCTTTTATGATGCCACCGATGAATTTCTCTACATCTGATCATATATGTATTTATTTATATCATCCGAAAAATTTCCTACCGACTTTATTCGCTAGCTGAGGAAATGTCACGAGAGTGAGAAAAAAGATTGGAGGAGCCAATTTAGAGAGATATAGTAAAAACCAGCCAAATGGATATCCCATATAAGGTGTAGTCTGTGCTTGTAAGTTATAATAATCATATCCTGCAGAGAAAACGATGTCTATGTAGTTTGATGTGTGCGCATTATTAAAACTTGAATAAA